TTAGACGACAGCAGGTAACAAACACTACTGCCCCATTTGGTTGGAAGAATTGTAAGTATATTTGTTATGTGCCAAAAGTCTTTAGTCTCTATAAACTTACAACCTAAAGCCTCTTGACTGGAGTAGAACAATGCCTAGAGGAAAGCCTCTGTGAATGATCACATCTGAGTTATTAAATTACAACACTAAAGCAGGGTAGTGTTAACATTTGGTTCAGCTTTTAACTTCTCTTTACATAGATTTAACAGCATTTTGGCTCAGATCAAAACAGTGATCAATGATGACACCACCTATTTGAAGAGCAGTCTGAACTTGCGCACTCAGAAGTGCTATGCCGTGCGTCCTGGTGTCAATGAATTTCTTGACGTTGCACGGCGAGCCTACACTGAGGTAGTGGATGACATCACAGGTGAGCTGATGACTTCTAGTAGTTATAAAATACTTTAGAAATAGTTAGACTGATGTGATCTCAGCTAAAGTACAATACTTTGCTTTGGTAGTAGCATCTCTATTGTACTCTAACTGCTCAGGATTGGTGCATCAGCTTGAAGAGAAGTACAGCCTGCCCCTGCGCACTAGTTTCAGTAGTGCTCGTGGCTTCTTCATTCAGCTAAGGCTGGAGGGTGTGGTTTTGCCTGATGGACAGCTCCCAGGAGAGTTTATTAAAGTAAGGCTGAAGCCCTTAATGTTAAACATTAGAGACATTGTATGTATTTAGACAAGTGTGTAAAATTCCAAGGGCTAAAAGTGTCTGCTGATTCACCGTAGGTAACTAGACAGAAAAACAACTACTCCTTCACCAATTTAGACCTGATGAAGATGAATGAGCGCTGTGATGAGGCCCTCAAGGAGATATTTCACATGTCTTATGTGTGAGTATGCAACAAATACAGATCTTGCTCTTTAATCATTTGACAGATATGCACTGACAGTGTGAGAACAAGTACAGGTTTTATCTGTGGTGTGAAATAATTTGTATTGTCATAAAGGTACACATATATCTTTTTGATTTTGTGTTTACCACAATAGTGCATCCTATGTTATGGGTTATTTTCAAGAATGTTGACACTTCTATTTCCACCATATTTCTGCAGAGTGGTATGCCGCCTACTTAACGGAGTACATGAGCAGATCCACTGTTTGTATAAGCTGTCTGATGCTGTGTCCATGCTGGATATGTTGCTCTCTTTGGCTAGTGCCTGCACTGTCTCAGACTATGGTAGGATTTGTTTCCACACATTTGTCATGTTTTATACAGTAATATAAAAATAAATCATAAATATTAAAAACTATTTGTTTTATTTAATATTTTAAGTATACTGTATAAATTGACAAAATTATGAATAATATACTTTATCTATTTATAGACATTTTTGTCAGTTTTATCAGATTTCTTGTTTTTTGATTTGATCGCTACATTTGCAATTATTATTTTTTTTTGGATATTCACTCCATTCAAAGTTTGGAACTTCTTATGTTATTAATAACTGTTGTTATATTGTTCAATAATAACTTAAGCCATGCAGATTCTAATACTATAAACCAGACACTAGAAGGTATTTTATTGTCTTCTTCAATGTTTTAATTTTTGAGGCAATCAAGACGCTATTTATGGTAAGATCTATTTACCATAATTAGTTAGTAAGTTGTCTTCCTGCGATTTGATTACCACCTTTCAAATGCAAGACAGTCTGGATATTTTATTTAACTTTATTTTCAATGTTATTAATTAAGGAATTCATTAAGGAATGATCTACAGCTTATCACATAAAATCTTCATTTTCATATTTTCTTCTTTTGTGAAAACCTACAAAGTTGTAGAGTCATAATGAAATAATTTTATACAGGTATCTGCAATGAAATAATAATACTGAATAATACTGATGTTGCAATTTTATTCAAATACCCTAAATTGTACTTATATTAGAATGAAATACCAAGAGTTTACAACTAGAGGGAAATTCACTCGAAAGAGGCCCTGAATATTCTGTAATAACTCTCACTAGGACTAACGGGAGATACAACAGAATATTTGGGGGCTCTTTCGAGTGAATCTTCCTGTACTGTAGCTGTATCAAGTTGGATACAATTTCAGGCCATTTCACAGTGTGTTTATGCTTCCTTCAGTGCGACCTGAGTTCACTGACACACTGGCGATAAAGCAAGGCCGCCATCCTATGCTAGAACGCGTTGCTGGCAAGCAGCCGGTCTCCAACAACAGCTATATCTCTGAGGGAAGTAACTTTGTTATAATCACAGGCCCTAACATGAGTGGCAAGTCCACTTACCTCAAACAGGTGGCTCTCTGCCAAATTATGGCTCAGATAGGTAAGTAGCCTTGCTTTATTGAATCAACTTGATTTTGACTGTGCTGTTGTGTCTTGAATATATAATGTTAAAAAAGAGTAGCTTGTTCCTGTTTTACAGTCATTTGTATTTGGATATTTTGAACACAAAATAATAAAATAAAACTAAATAAAACATTAATTTGTCAATGTTAGCAATACAGCTGTCCAAGAATGCTCTAAAATTATACTTTAATTTTTGACTTAGGATCCTTTGTGCCTGCTGAGTATGCCTCCTTCCGAGTTGCTGACCAGATATTTACCCGAATAGGAGTAGATGATGACTTTGAGACCAGCTCATCTTCATTTATGGTTGAAATGAAAGAGGTGAATATAAAGTGGTCACACACACAAGCATACTGTGTTACATTGATTACAGCCATTGCACATTTCTTCATTGTGCTGTCAGGTGTCATACATAATACACACTGCAACTGACAAGTCACTCATCATTATTGATGAGCTGGGACGTGGCACTAGTGCTGAGGAGGGCATCGGCATTTGCCACGCAGTTTGTGAATTACTCATCAGTCTGAAGGTATAGTAGTATTCAGGTCTTGAAATGTGCATGCAGCAACCTATACTGATCATATTAGCAATACATACAAACAATATAAACAGTCATGAGAGACAAACTACCCAATATGTGCTTTTTGGGTCTTTCAGGTGTTCACTTTGTTTGCTACCCACTTCCTGGAGCTGTGTCAGTTGGAGACACTCTACCCCAACGTGGAGAACCAGCACATGCAGGTTCAGCACATTCGTGGGAGTGATGGCAGCACAGAGAGAGTGGTCTACACCTACCTGCTGACTCGGGGGTGTTCTGAGGAACGCAGCTATGGTAATTTAAAGCATTCTAAAACAAGACAAATTTCTCACTTAACTATTCATTAAATTATAGGTATATTCAATAAATTGAAAAAATATATTATGTATTTATAATAACACTTATTATACATAATTTAACTAAATCTAACTATTTTTTTGCTGTGCTGATTAAGGTATAAGAGCAGCAGAGATTACTTCCATGCCACCAGCCATCATCCAGGAGGCCAAGTCTATTGCAGCTAAACTCAGCCAGAAGTTATGGGTAAATTTCTGAGCTGGACGTTGTGTTTACATGTCTTGTAATGCATGTAATTCATGCTTACTTTGACTGGATAACAACTCAATTTTCTCACTGTTGTGTTAAGACAACTGTACATTTTAAACTGTACCAACCCATTGTACTGTTTTTCTTCCTCCCCTAGGCTAAGAATCAGAGTGATCCAGCCACAATGAAACAAAGAGCAGTATATCATCTTGCCACCAGATTGTTGCAAACGGCCCGAAACTCCAGGCTGGATCCTGACAGCCTCTGTCTCTACCTGAAGGGTCTGAGGAGACACTATGAGGCTGAGTTAAAGAACAGTTTAGAGTCTATGAACATGGAAGAATGAAGCCTGCTTAATTTATTACAGATCTACGACATTGGAAATTGATAAGGTGCCAAGATTTAAGCATAAGCTACAGCATTCACCTAGTTTCAGACACTAACTTCTGGCCCAATGTTAACCAGTAGTACAAAAACAGTTAAAAGGACTTTGTTATCACCAGTCAGCTTGTTGAGAGGTTAATGTTTATATTATTCACAGACTTTCCTTTTGAATAGCATTTATTTAATGTCTAATCAGATGTTAAAACAACTTGATTTTTCTGTGATGTGTAATGTACAACACTGTCTTAACTCTAAAGATATTAAACCTGTTATAATGCAGGATGAATTCTTGATATGGTTCAAGAGTTCACGAAAGCCACAGTCATAAAACAAACCACCAACCTGCTATGGTGTTCACAAAACTCAGAGGATGAGAGATGATCTTAGATCAGATTCATTATGTATATGTAACGATCATAGTCCCGAAAAGCTGACCCTAGATCAGCCCTACTAGTCGAGTTTTTTTGTGAACGGAGACCCCCGTTTACCTCAGCAAATAAGGAAACCACTGCCATAATAGCATTGAGTGTGGCGTTGGACTCAGTCATCGCGAGAATCATCTCTGGCGCCGCCCTCAGCGCAAGTTTGACTGTAATTCGTCCTCCTGGATGGGCTTGGCTTCTATCGTATTGTAGTGATTGGTAGTACGATTCAATTTAACGAACCGATTCTTTCGAACTGTCCGTTTAAATGAATCGAACGTTCGATTCAACGATGCATTCATTCATAAGGAGCGTCACCTTTATTCTCAACTCCAAATACGCCGAGATCCACATCACCAAGTGATATCGCCACTTCTGCTCATTAATAGGTTCCGATTATGCACAACTCATAAACAAAGAAGAGAAAGAGGAAGCCATTTACAGCTTGCAACTGGAAACTTGACTCAAGGTCCGGATTTGAAGACCTATGGTTCACAGAGAGAAAAATGAAGTGAATACAAGTAGATTGCTCTTAATAAGTTACAGTGTGGTGTTTCATGTTCTGGTTTATTGATATGAAAATGTGAAAACGTATTAATCGAATTTTGTTAGTGTTAAGCCTGTTCAACGGACGTAACTGCAAAAAGTTAAATTCAGCTGAACATGTGAATCAGTTCGGCCGGTTTATTGAAAAGAGCCGATTCCTTAATGATTCGGACAACTGTACCGTAGCGACCCGCCTCCGCCTCTGCGAAACGGGATAGACTTGCTGCTAAGCGCCGGGCCGGAGCTGCTGTCCATCGCGCTCCACAAAAGGGAACAGCTCTTTCATTCCAGCAGTAACTAGCTTTGTTAAAGATATCGTAACAGGTACGTCTGGTGTTCATTATTAAAATCTTTACCAACCACAAGCCTGGCCGGTCGTGGTGAAAAATTTAATGCGCTAGCCAAGCTAGCGCCTCCAGTTAGCCACACACGGGGCCTAGTTAGCTAACCTAGCTAGCACACTGCTGATCCGTGCCGTGACTGACGGGAACGGACGGCAATGGCTGGCTAATGTCTGAGGTTCAGTGGTCCTGATTTCAGATGGGTTTTATTAGATGTTGAAAAATATCTATCTGTATTTTTAAGTAAAACCTGGACGGCTAACTCGATACGTAAGCCCAATTTGCTTTAGTGTGGCAGTCGGCCTGTTAATCGATTTAACCACGCTGTCATTTCAGGCTAAAGAAGAGCTCATGTCCGGCCCTACACCATTCGCTCGCTAACGTTAACTAACCTACTCTGCCTAATGGCTAGCTAGCTTGCTAAGTTGGCTGAAAAAACATTGGTGAGCTAGCTGCTTTTTCGATTTCTAAGTCGGGGTCTAACGTTGCCCCAAGTCATGAAGAGAGGAGAACGTTAGCTAGCTTGCTGGGTACTTTTTCGGTTTAGTTTGTTTTACCCCGTTTACTGATTTGCCCACATCCTGAACCATAGTGCAAGATTAGGTAACTCTTACTGATCTAGCTAGCTTCCCGGACTGCATGCCGAGTCTTCTGGGTCATTTTTACAGTAATGGTCTTGTTAAAGTCTGTTTAATAAAAACAAGAATAAAAAGTAGCCAAGACAACACCGGTCTCCTTAAAGGAGAGTTGCAAGTCGTACAAAATATAGACAAAGCATTGTTTCTCTTTCCATTTTTGTTGCTTTAAACTATCACAGGGGGAATAATGGCAAATGTAGCTTGGTCCCCACGGGGATTTCCTCTAGTAAGTCGCCTAGAAATTGACCTTACGTGTACTTTGACTTACTAACGTTGTTTCGAAAGGGGCCGATGACTCGTTGAAGAAGTGTGTGGTATTTTCTAAATGCGACATATTCGTTAGCTGGCTGGGTGATGTGTGGCTTTTAATAGCGTGGTTAACAATAATATGTTATACGATGAAATATCTTGCTTGCTAAGCAGATTTGTCCCCCCGATGTACAAACTTGAAACAAACTCCACCCTCCTCCTGGTATGAATCTGCAAAATAGAGTGAACATTTTGTTGTTCTTTTAAATCCATATCATTCTATCTTGTGTACATTTTTAAACACAAAGCCTAGATAAATATGTGAACATTATTTCATGTATCCTTCCTGTGACTCCAAAGACCTTGTAAAGTAGGAACTGTTGATAAGTGTACATAGTTGTGTAGGTGGAGCTAAGGGCCTCTCTGAGTATGTGCTTGTGTCTGCTCAAAATCCATTCTCGTACTGCATTGATTTGCTATGACAGAAGCTACCCTTATCTACCGGTGGTGTGAGAGGCAAAACTAGATGCCTTCATACACAGCTGAAGCGAAAAAATTTAAGTGGAGGACAACACTGGATTGCATTAACTGGAGGTTTCTGCTACAACAGAGGACGCTTCAAAAATTCCTGACATTGTTTAGCAATGGGTAAATTTGTATCTGTAACCACTATTGTGAGTCAGAATGTGATTAGTCAAGAGGCTTCAAGAATACTGCGATAGGGATAGAGATTTTGCCTGTCCCCCTCCTGGAGATCATGTGTCAAATATCACACCAACTGGTAGTCTGTTTTGTGGCCCAGGAAGTTGCACTATGGCTTACAGTGCCATGGCCTACCACTGATCTCCGCTGTATCTGAAATTTGACTTTGGTTATCTCAAATTATCTGAGCTTTACACACATTCAAAGGTGTGTTCAGCGCACCCCAGATACAGCTCTACTTCTAAAGCTTTCATAGTAAGTGTATCTCGCAACATGACTACACTTCATAGGCTTATATTAGTGGTAGAGTGAAATTGTTTACTTTTCAATAGAGTGAGATTTGATATTGCTTTGTTTGTATTGGAAGCAAAGTTCATTCACACAGCGCAAGATAAGCACTCTGAATATGCCTTTTCAAATACCACTCGAAGCCATGTTGTTATTATTTGATGCCAGTTAGGCCTTTTTCAGTTGCAGTTCAACAAATTAGTTGAAAGAAGCCCATGCTTTTGGTTTCATGCAATAAAAGCCTGCTGATAAGTAGATGAACTAACTAGAGAGGAGAAGCCCCCACATCTGCAAATGAGCTGATTGTTCGGAGATGTCTCCCTGTTTTGCCAAAGCAGGCAGGCCTAGTAAAGCATCTGGATTCCAAGCAGCCAGTCGCCCGAGAGCGTTGTCTTCCCACCTCATTTCCATGCCACAGGGTATCCTCACAGCTTCAGTGTGACCTGCACTTTGAAATTTCACATGCCAGTAGGAATTGTGCTTGGGAATCTATCCTGAGGCAAAGTTCAAACAGGCACGCCGTTTGTGTTTGATCTGCCTCTGTGTCCACTTTCCACTCCACAGGGCGGAGAGAAAAACAAGGAATCAGAGTTCAGAAAGCAAGCAAGCGTGTATTATATGACTAAGTTGCCACACCCATCCCTATCCTGTTCAGTGTACTTTGGACTGAATGAAGTGGAAAGTGAAGTCCTGTTTGAGACCGTAGTCCTATTTGTTGTTCCTGTGCATATCATTCAGTGAGTCGAATAGTCAGGAGTGAGAAGTAACTTTGTCAGTGTCTTGAATTAAATTTCTTTTTTGCAATGGATTCCTGCTTTGATCAGTTTTAAACAAGACTTTGTGCTCCAACAAGACTTTTAACTCTGCTTCATGCAGTCCAGCAAGTACTGGTAACTGACTGAGTTAGTTTAGTCACTCTTGGTAATGTTGCAGCCGTGTGAAACTTTCTTACATGAGAGGTTTGATGAACATTTGTTGAGCATGGATATCCAGCCTTGAGGTACTGCTGAGGCAGTGCAATGGCAAGTTATTCCTAATTATTAAGGTAATAAGCTTATCCAGGCATCCAGGTATAGGATATGCTAGGCAGGCTAAGTAGGATGGCCTCTTGGGCCCCTTCTCCCACCACTATTCCTGACAGATGCAGCTACAAATGGTGCACAGCATCTCATCTGGCACATTACTACACAGTTAGTGTCAACAGCAGTATTTGCTTTTTTTGTCTTTGGAATTCTAAAGTACGTGGTCACTGATGTTTGAGAACCTTGATAGATGTACAGAGAACAATGACAGTCTTTCAGTCAATTCAGTTTTTTTGATCCACCCAATGATGTCATGCAGTTCTAGGTCACTACTTACTGGTTTAAAAAGGTCAGCAATCTCTACACTGCAGTTTGGAGGATTGTTTCTATGTAGAAGATTGACCCATGAATTTTGTTGTAGTAATATGAAGAAACTTCTGATGTAGTATGCTGTACAGTCATTGTAGTCACTCTGTGCTGCTAGTAAGTTTCATTGAATTTAATTTTAAAAGGTTTTTATGTTACACTTTGACAAGTTCTTTTAGAGGAGTTTTAAGCTGTCAAATGAATTAACCACTAGAAGCAGGCAAATTTGTGGTGATGAGGGAATTGCTTCCTCTGTTCAAGTCATTAGTGTGTGTTTCAGCACTGGGGTCTTTTACAGAGTAGAATATTTTTGACCCTGACCCCCACCGCCAACTTGTCACACTAATGTACAAACTGAAGTGTCTCTGAGAACTGTTTGAATTGGAGGATTTTCTTAGCTGTGCTATGTTGTAGCAGCATGTCTTCAGTCAGGCTTGAGATTGATATCGCTAGATTTACTGGTAGAGGTGGTTTAGCTTCTTTTCTTTTGAAATTTTTTTTTTTATCTTTCCTTGCTGGTGCTTTAAGCTCAGGCCAGTGGTAATTGCTCTACTGGAAAAGTATTTAGCTCACATTCAGTGGACAAACTCAGATTATTGTGTTCAGCACACAGCCTAATTGGATCACATCACTGAGTGTGAGAAGGAAAGGGGACCCTCTGGGAAGGCGGCAAAAGGGCGGGTGGAGTGCGAATTAGAGGAATGTATGAGAGAGAGAATAGACAGAAGGACTGAGCCAGGAAGAGCACAAATTAGGGCTACAAAATTAAAGAGTCATTCCGCAGTGGTTTGTTCCAAGGTTTTTCTCTCAGTCACATTTTTTTTTATTTATAATACCTTTTAGTGACAAGGGTTGTTTAATGACAGATATTTAGTTATCTAGTAGATGCCTAGCAAACGTGTTCCTAATGTAATGTGACGAGAGTGTCACAGTCCTGGCTTATGACGGGCGTCCACCAAAGGTTATTTACTTGGCTAAATCATTTACTATCCCTTAACAATAGTAAATTAAACCTTTGTATTAATAAATAGGGAAATTTAATTATCACTCTGGTATTGGACCTGCATCCAATAATTACAGACAGTAACTTAATGCCCCATTTGTGCTGATGAGTCAGTAGTCATGGGCATTCCCATTCTTAAAAAAAAAAAAACAAAACCTTTCGTGAACGAATGTGAATTATAATGTGAACTAGTTTTAAAATGCCAAACTGAAGTTTTTGGTTACTGCTCTGTCTATTGGCCACTATAAAATATTATTGTTATAGTTAATTATACAGTTGTTAAACCTCCATGTCTTTGCATGCCTGATGTTTCCCTGATTTGAAGTCTGCTTCGTTTTCTTACTTTCATCTAATTTTTTCCCAGAATGGCAATCGAAGTCGCTGACTCGCAGTACCTTCTCATACTGGCACCATCACTGGTTATCGCTCTCATGTTCCTCTTCTTCTGGCTATTCATGAAAGAGACTTCCTATGATGAAGTTCTGGCCCGCCAGAAACGAGACCTGAAGCTGCCACCTGTTAAGACAGATGCCCGCAAAAAAAGTGAGAAAAAGAAGAACAAGAAGAAAGAGAGCAGTGGAAGCGGAGGAGGTGGAGGCGGCGAATCAGAGGAAGACCTGCGAGATTTTGATACGTCCGATGCCACTACTCCGGCCTCAAATGACGAAGAGTCTGAGGTGGTGCCTGTGGCCGTGCATGTTGCCACACCTGTCCAGTCAGAGCCTCCAGCTGTGGTGAGGGAAAGGAAGAAAAAGGAGAAGAAGGCGAAAGCTGCCACTGCAGCTGCTGCTGCCACTTCTCCTCCTGTCACCTCCGAGGAGCCAGAGGTCAACGGCTCAAAGCCTGCTACTGTCCGTAAGGAGCAGTCACTCCCCCTCACCAAGCAGCCCAGCCCACCCCAGCCACAAAGCACACCCCCAGTCTCAACAGAGACTACAAGCAAAAAGAAAGCCAAGAAGCAGAAGATTGAAGCTGGTGGGTAAATTTGCTGTGTGCAAGAGTGTAATATGTATAACATATGAGTTGCCATTATTATTGTTATTATTTTAACCAGATATTTTATTGAATATTATCTCAAATATTCTCTAACAAAATTGTTACCCAACCTAGCAGCCCTGGTCTGGCTCTGAACAGCAGTAAGTGCTGCAGGGGAGGAGAAACAATATGTCTTTAGCCATCGTCTTAAAAATGAAAACTTTTTGGTGAACTCTTGTCAGTCAGTATAGGAGTGAGAGAGGTTTTTAAGCCGCTTGAAACCGTTTATACTAGAGCATGTGCTAAAATCTACCTAGTGCAGTCAGAATAAATTCCCTGCAGCTCTGGACAGCTAGCTTTCCTGCACACTCTAATTTATTCTTGATAGTAAACGCAACTGAAAGCCTGCTAGCTAGCTAGCACTCTGGTGCAGCTGGAAAGCCATCTTTATTTTTTGGTGTATGCCAGTATGTGCAAGAACAGGAGCAAACTGCTTTGACTTGTGTAGCTGCCATAATCAAAGTAATAACCAAGAAGTGAGAGATTTAGTTTAGGCATTTGCTTGTTTGGGCATGTGTCCAAAGGGTGTGTGGAAATGAAAGCTTTTGAGCTTGCTGGAGTGCTTCCAAACTGTGCCGCCTCACAAGATTTGCCCAGGTAGTCATTTCTCATCACTTTCTAAAAGTACTTTTCAAGCATATCACATCTGAGAATATGTATAATCAGGAATTTTTTTATGTGTGGCAATTGCATTTCTCAAAACAAAAAACATTTTAACACGTAATCCTCTGGGGCAGAAAGAGCTGAACAGTAAACAATACTGTGTGCTGAATGAAATGGATAGTTCAGCCAAAAATCTTAATATAACTAACACTAAATGGAAATAAGCGGGCACAGAACATACCCATTTAAATGGCTCCCATTGATATGTAACGTTTTGAGTAATATTTTTTGAGGCCATTGCTCAGCTTTTTCAGTTCATGCCAGACACCTACTCATGGCTGGAGTAATTGCTGACTTAACCCAAACACCAACCAAGTGAAGCCAGCAGAAAGTGGCTCAGTGAATTGGCACAAATTTTGAATAGTACTCTTGAGTCTGTAATTGAGTATGCATGTGTGTCAGCAGCAGTCGCAAAAGGACAGTGCTAGAAGTGGGGGGTGGGGGGGAGTGGCAGTATCCCTGAGGCTCTTCATGTCACACTGCCTACAGTCTCTCTCAGTAGTGTCCATGGCAAAGCATTTTGCCTTGACTTCTTAATCAGATCAAATATTTATTTATAGGACTCATTGTGGGGAGAAGTTCTTGCCACAAGCCCCTTATAAATGCCTCCCCAGCGTCAAGTATCTTACTTGGTTTCCTTGGTTAAACTTACTTTTTTGTCTGCCTTAATTTTTTTGGTGCTGAACGTGGCCTCGATCCCTATATCACTCAGTGTTATAATGCTCCCTAGTATGGAAAGTTTTGTACCAAAGGTCCTCACATACTGACCTATTATACAGTTTCTTGTCCCAGGTTTTGTAATCTCTGCTAGTTAACTGATAATGTAACTGACTGGCCACCTAGCGTCTTACCTACCAGTGACTGAAATCCAAGACCAGAAACTTGGTTCAGGGTCAGAATTTGAAGAATTCTGTTTTATACAGAAATGTACATAAGTGTACATATTATAATACTGAGATTATGATAGGTCTTAGCATATGTTTTTGTTTGTGAACTTCTGCTGCAGAAGAGCATCCAGCTGAGGTGAAGCCTGATCAGTCTCCTGTTGTTGCGAAGAAGGAGGAACCTATTCTGGCAGAGTTTAAACTGCAGGATGGAGCTGCTCCTGCTACCCCTCTGCCTGCACCTTCTGGCTCCACTGGCAGCGGCAGGAGAAAGAGCAAAAAGCAGAAGACAGAGGCTGCCATCACTGGTATTTCTCCCTATGGCACATTCAGACAGCAAATTTGAAGACAACTCAGATATTTCTGCTGTTAAATGTAAACATAAGAGTGCTTTGAAAAGGATTAAAAGAGCCATATCAGTGTAGCAAATGTCTGCCTTCATTGTGTAAGATTTTTTTGATTTGCTGAAAAATGTAAAATTCTGCATGATGTGTATCCATTTTTTGTTATTGGTTTGTTTTTCTGGTTTGGTTTATCAAAATTGGGATTTTGTCTTGAAGTGCAAGAGTTCTTGATGAGCATTGATTGTGTGTGTTTGTGTAGTTGATGAGGCTCAGGTCCAGTCCTCTCCTCCTGTGAGCCAGACTGACTCCTCCACAACAAACCACCAGAGCAGCCAGAATGATGAGGCTCCGGCCCAGGCTCCCATTCCCACAAAACATGGCAAGAATGGCAAGAAGCAGAAAAACGAGACTGACAAAGGTGCTCATCTACACGAGGGCAGTAGTGATCAGCTTAAGTCACTGCCTACCTGAATTCCATCCAGCTCCAACCAGAATTACATTCATTTCTTTTTGTCTGTCTTGTGTCCTGTCCTGCTCTCATAGCCACTGTGCAGTTTTATGTGGTTTCTGTAAGGCTCATGTACAGTCCTGTCCTCATCTTATGTGGGCTGTCTGTTTTATCCCCCAATTTTTTTTTTGTTTTGTTCTCTGCATACTTCAGTACACTACATTTGGTCACAAGATGTGAGGAAAGCCTTCAGGGTAGTTTAATGTGAAATGCTCCATTCTACAGAAACCATTTAAAAATTGTTCACAACAGTTATGGCAAAGGGGTACCATTTATGGCAAAGAGGTACATTAGGCAAAATAGTTCCCAAAGAAAATGTATTTCTTCTAGATTAACCCTTTTTTAAACTTTTAACATTTTAAACATCTCAAACATTTAAAAACTCTGTAGACTCCTTTGGGTTCACTAGTTGTTTTGGATAATAAAATCGCTGTATTTTCATAGACATTACAACCACTGGTTCTTCTCGTTACCATTGTAAAGCAAACAAATCAGTACGTCTCTCTTCAGTGCGCTTCCTGCCATACCATTCAGAATGAGTTACGTATAAAAAATATAACTTATGCAGAGATTTTGAAATAATTGTGGAATTCGACTAATTCGGGCAAATGCAGGTACCTGCACAGTACAGTTCAGTAGACGAAAGTACTATATAAACAAAGTAATCAAATTGATGATCAACAGTAGGTGGGTACAGTGTTCTGTTATGTCTGTGTGCAGAGAATTCAGGGGTGAAGCTGAAGGAGTTGATGGCTAGTCTGGGTGGGCTGGTGTTATCTGACGCTGATGTGGTCTCTGTGGTTTCTCTGCTCCGGGACAAGAGCCCGAATGCCCTGGACAGCTGGTATAAGGTCAGTTCACTTTGAGCACATTCCATATGTTTGAGGAAAGTTTGCATTTTCCCTTTTTTCACTTCTTCAATGCTTTGCCTTTCCTCTCTCAGTCTGCAGCTAAATTTGAAGCCTCAGCTCAGCAGCTGGCAGAGAAAGAGCGCCTACTCAACACTCTGCAGGAAGAAGCCTCCATCGCCAAGGACAAAGTCAAACAGCTCAGCCAGGTACATTTAAAAGTCTATAAATGACCAATGTCTTACTTTAAATGGCTTAGACACTGGTTATAGAGTGTGTATAGTTTAACAGGTTTTCTAAAATTATGTCTGAGTTCAATGAGGGACTGCTGTTTTTCTGGAAATGCTTTTTCATTGTCTGTGATATTGCATTTATTAACCTTGTTCAAAACATGCAGTGCAGTACATCATGTTCTTCACCTAACAGTTTATACAGATGATTGCAGAAACGTTTATTGTAATGATAATAAAAATGCATATCATGCAGACCTACCTGTCATGTTTGTCAGTGGCTGTTGAATGTAATCTTGCCATGCTCTGTGTGTGGGGTGATGTAGGAGTTGCAGGCAGAGAAGCAGAAGAGCGGCCGTGCGGAGGCTGTCCTGCGGGAGCAGCGGGTTGCCATGGAGAAAGAGATGAGTGTCATGCAAGCCAAAGCCCAGGGCAGCTTCCAGGAGCTTCAGGCCATGCAGATCAAGGTAAGAATAAGTGACAGATAACTCTGTCCTGCATCGAGCCTTAGCATGTGCTGTTGCGAGTTGTTGTAATAATTTGAGAGTGAAAGAGAAAAACATTGGTGAAATATAAAGAAATGAAGTATGGTTCACAAAGTGTTTGTCATTTTTTTTGGCATTACAAAAAAGCGTGTCTCCAGAAATAGTAACTTAAATAGTAAAAAGGTTCATAACTTAACGTACGTTAGTGTAGAAACATTTTATTCCAAGTAATATTGGAGTTTTTGAATTGGTTTGTTCTTCATTCAAATTTACACACATAGTAAAGTACAAGAAAGTAAAGGACAAGTTCTGTGTTTAAATGGAGATGGAAGGATATAGAAGCATGTAACGTAATGACAAACTGACAGTGATATTGAATCTTACAATTAAAAAAGGACATTGCACCATTGGCATGAATACAGTTGATATTGAATTATCAACCTGAATTATATTGTGCATATGTAGTATCTTATGAAAGTGCTTGGCCTTGCACTTTACTTGAAATACCTGTGCAACCCCTCTGTCCACAGTTCCAGAAGCTAAGGGAACAGTTGGAGGGGCAGATTGCCAGACTGCAGCAAGAGAACGGCATCCTCAGAGACGCTGTGAGCTCTGCCACCAACCAGATGGAGACAAAGTGAGTCCCAAAAACCCCTTAAATACTGTAGACAAGTTACAGCAGAGTTTCAGCGAAGCAATTTAGTTATGTTGATTAATGTATAATTCATATTGGTATTATCACATAATTCTGCATATCCAAAGAAATATACTTGTTGTTTGTTTGTTTTCCAGGCAGTCAGCTGAAATGAACAAACTGCGCTCTGAGTATTCAAGCCTGATGAAGGAGCTGACTGAGACCAATACCAAACTACAGCAGGAGGAGCTTCAGAGGAAGAGCCTGGAAGTTAACTACAAGCAGAATGTGTCCCAGCTCGAGGTGCTTGTCACTGTGTACTCACATTCACTCATTACCCCCTGCTTCTTCAACTTCTTCAGAGGGCAAATCGACAGATTGCTCTTTTCAGTAAGACTACGTGTTGTGCTTTTGTGAAATGGTTCTGTATGTTATCTTTCAGGCACAATTACAGGATGCTAAGCGACGCTGGGAAGACCTACAGAGCTATTTGCACAGTGTTAATACTGAAAGGGAGAAACTGCAGGCTGCTAAACAAGGTATGTGGTCCTCTCACTTTTGTTCTCTCTCTTTCTCACTTTCACTCTGTCATTCTCTCTCCCACTTTTACACTCATTCATTCTCAGTTTCACCCTGCGCTGTCTCACTTGTGCACTCTCATGAATGCATACATAGACCTTTTTTACACATTTCTTTTGTCCTGCAGAGCTGCAGAATCAGTTGCTGGCGGTAGAGACAGAGATGAGTAATAAGAATAAAGAGATCCAGACTCTCCACAGCAGTCTCACAGACACCATGGTGTCCAAAGAACAGGTGGAGCAGAAGGTCATGCAGCTTCTGGAAGTTTCTCAGCACAGCCTGCAGCCTGATGACTCACTGCAGGCCCAAGTGCAGGTAGTATGCATTCTTTTCATGCCTCTGTGACAAATAGGTGTGTGTTATGTAGTGGTTGAGGAATAATAGTGTGAATCTTTAACTTGTTAACAGGACCTTATGAAAGAGAACAAAGCACTCCAAGGTCAAATTGAGAGTCTTCAGGCTCAGGTCACTTCTCAGGTAGCTATAGACCAATATAGCTATATGTGTTGTTTGTATTGTTTGTGCCTGGAAACCCACTGTTTTCTTTCCCCTTTGTTTTCTTAGGCAAACACAGTATCCCATTTTGAGGAGCTTCAAAAACTGTGAGTGAAAGCCAATTGGGGTGAAAAAAAACTAGAGCACTATTATTTTTAAGCCACCCATCATTATATTTACACATCATTTATATTTGTATTTGCTCCTGTGTGTGGTCAGGCTGGCTGAGAAGGAGCTCCAGAGGAAGAGTCTGGAGGACTCACTTAATGCAGAGAGGAGCAGTGGTGCCAGCAGAGAGACCAACATGCAGGTAAGTCATGCCCCTGTACACCAGTGGTTCTCAGGGTGGGGGATAATTTTGTGCTGTAACAGGGCGGTTGTCAAAAAACTAAAAATGTAGTATACATAAGCTTGTGTTTTTTTTTACATATTTTTGACAATGACTCTTCAGTAAAATCTCAATACCATGTTGTTCATTATAAGCTAATACAGAGTGTGTGAATGAAGATGGGCTGCACGCTGAGCTGTATGCCAAAATTTTGGTCCAGCATATTTTGATGTTCAGTATCTCTTATAAAAGATGTTAACTTCGCTGCCTTATGTGTGTATCAGCATTATGTGATCATTATCCAACTAAATTGAGACTTCATAGAAGTGCTTCTTATTCCTGTTATTCAGCTTACTTAGTTGACTTACCGCTTCTTTTCAAATAACAATGCATTACAACATTGATCACCTTCCATTGGCTAGTCTGTTAACCTAGTCTTTTTTGTTTTCTAGGCAGTGAACATAAAAGAATGATTGATTGGTTTGTGGGGTAGCCTTAGTCAGGCTTATGGACGCTAGTTTGATTACTTTGATTCTGTTTCTTTTCGTACTGGCTGAGAAGCTGCCTAACTCGGTCTTCTGCATTAAGCAAGGAATGGACCAGCTCATACTAGAGCGTGAATGACTGTATTATTCTCCAGATTTCAGCAGCATCTGACAGTTGAGGGCATGAGTATATGGGCTGCACATATAAGATAAATGGCTTGAAAAATTTGACAGCTAAAGTTGGCTCCTTATTCAAATTTCTTGTTCCACCTTAAATGGTGCAACAGTTACAATTAGGCTCCTGTACAGTCTCAAGAATGTAACTGCTGCTCCATTTTGTGTGGAATGGGAAAATTTTAACTTAAAACTGCTGAATAAGAACCCAAATTCATCCTTGTAGAAATTACATATGGGTGTGTATGAATGTTTCTATACATGTTTCCTTTGTGGAAAAATGTGTTGCTATAATGTGTTTCAGAGGGAATTGAGGGGATTGTGAACCCTAGCCTATGTTTTTTGGAGGTTTGTGGCTTAAAAACATTGAGAAACTGCTCTACACACTAGAGCAGCTTAGTGAGTTTGCCTGTGGGATGCAGCCATATTGAGAACTCAGCTCTGTGTCTTCTGTCCACAGGCCATTCACAATGAGAACATAGCCCTGAAGGCTGAGCTCCAGAATCTGCAGGCACAGATTTCTGAGCAGGTCAGACTCACAGACTCACACTAATAAATGGCTTATGTTGCACTCACACAATGTGCACTTGATCTCATCATCTCTCCCACTTTCTCCTCAGGCGTCCTCCCAGTTGACAGTGGACCAGCTCAAGCAGAGGTGTGTGTGTGTGTGTGTGTGTGTGTGTGTGTGTGTTCTAAGTGTCTACATGTACAAGTGTGTATGTGTGCTTGAATGGATTTTGTTCTGAGGCTGAAACACACCTCATGATCTGTCAGAACAGTTCTTTAAACAGATTTCCAGAGGCACATTTTAATCCACCCTTAACTACTGCTTATGCAACCAGGCATACCTGCCCTTCCTACAACAATTCATTACATGAAGAAAACCCATTCAGCCAGAATACTAATGCTCCGTCTTGCTATACCCTGCATACATTTATCATTCAGATTCCTGCAAACCCAGTTATCATCTTGTTTGGTTTCATTGGGGTGGGTTGTGCCGTTATTTTATATGAACAAGCAAATGTTCACCTTTCTTGGCAGCCTTCAAGAGAAGGAGGAGAAGATTAAGACAGTGGAGGTGCTGCTTGAGGCCGGGCTTATTGAAGTAGCCAATAAGGAAGGGCATCTTAAGGTAAGCAGAGCATTACCCAGGGAAAAACTGTAAGAAACAGTTTCCTGGACACAGATTAAGCCTGGCCTGGTCTTACTAAACAGTAAGTTCAGTCGTACATAAACACAAACCTTTTGGCAAAGTTTACCATTTTAAGTGCTGAATATGTCATTCATGAGAATTGTGTAGATTTTAAGTGTGTTTGGTTTTAGTAAGGGGGAGGGGTGCTCTGCTGCCGAAAGAGAATTCTATGAGAGAAACCCTGATTTATTTGGTCAACCCACAGATATAGTATTTCATTTTCATAGTCAGAATAAAAGTAGCTTTGCTGAGAAAAGAGAGCTACGCTGGTTAAGCATAAGCGCCGTTTACATATAAAACCTACAATGTTGCATTTGTAACTTCTACAGAATGCAAATTATGTAATGACTTTTATACATTCATACATTTCATACATTATTATACAACAGTTGTTCTGGCCACGCAAGCTGATTGGTTGAGAAGCATTCTATAGCTTTTCACAAACAAATGATTTTCAGTTTTAGTGTTGAGCTGTGATTGTACCTAGTTTATGACAGTATGTGTGATTGGCTCTCTAGCTTTTGTTATGCCTCATTTTGGCTGCAATTCATTTTGGTTTTTACACATGGTACTTTTTTTCTATGGCATGTGGATGACTGCCTAGTGGAGCTACCACTACTTTTACTGTTGCTCCACCCAGAAAACTCACTTCTAAAACTTCAACTTTTATAACCTTGATATAGCGCGATCTGTGTGGGCATGTTGAGACTCTGACAATGCTTGTTACATTCTTAAACAGCTCTGCTTATTTGAGGAGAGTTGTAAGCTAAAATGATTCTCTTTGGAGAATCCTTGTTAGCTTTTAGTCTAAAACATAAAGCTAAGATTCAGTCTGTACCATAAACAGAAATGGATTAATTTCAAACCATTTGTTTTTCATTTCCCAATAGATTTGTTCTTGGCTTTATGCTTTTAGGCTGGCCTGACTTGGTAAAAATATGCTGAATTAATGATTTTCTTCCGTCACTGTGATTAGTTCATTTTAGGGGCCTGAGTAGTACAAAATGAGTCAGTAAATCTTTGTTTTTATGCAGACAATAAGGGAAGAGAATGAGTCTCTGAAGCGACATGTTGAGGCTTTGCAGCAGCAGACAGCGGAGCAGGTACAATAGCCCACTTTCACACTCCTATCTGGATTTCATATTGCTCTGTTAAATGTACTGTGGCAGTTGAGTCTCTCTCTTATTTTGTTTTTCTATGTTGGTTGCAGAAGCAGTCAGACACAACGCTAGAGCAGCTGCAGAGGCAGTAAGTTTAAGATTATAACAATATAAATTGTCAGACTTGCATGACTGTTTCTTTTGTATTTTATATAGATCTCTATATTTGCATAAACAAAAGAGAAATTTAGGTGCCGTTCTATTGAATACATTGTAGCAAATAGGTAGAAATGGCATAAGTGTCTGAGTAGTAACTGGCACTGTATCTTTTGTCAGGGTCCAGGAGAAAAATGAAAAGATCAGATCTGTTGAAGAGGAGTTGGAGTCGGCATTGGGGACAGATTTGCACAGAGTGAAAGCTATTGAGGTTTGTGTGCTGATTATCAAGTTAACATGCTCATTCATGCCATTCCTGTTTGAATTTGTTTCTGTTCAGCCATTTTTTAGCTTTTTTTCAGCATTCACCTAATATTGTGTTTATGTTCATAGTGTGATAGTTATTTTGGCAAACTTAACCGTTTAAACTGTTAAAGGAATAGTTACCCAAGCTGACACAATAGCCACAAGCTAATATGCTATTTATGTTGCAATAAAACATTGTTATGCTGTGATACAATATGATATGTTCAAGAGCGTTGTTCTTCCATGCAAAAGAAGTGGTGGCTGGCTTCACGTGTCTTGAAGGAAGCACGTGTTGCAGGCTGCAAGCCTCCTGCAGTAGGGGGAGACCTGTCTGAGATGAATTGTGAGGAAAAAATGTTAAAAATAGAGATATAAATGAAAACAAATATTTATAATAAGCTTGTAACAAAGGTGTGTGTGTGTGTGTGTGTGTGTGTGTGTGTGTGTGTGTGTGTGTGTGTCATGCCAGGATCTGGAGAGACAGGTGGAGGCTCTAGCAGCTGAATTGGCTGAGGTGAAGAGCAGGGAAAGCCAGATGAACTCGAATGCCAGTGCTCAGCTTCTGGAGCTCCAGACTGTGTATGTTTACACATGAAATGCACTGCATTCAGTTTGCATTTATTACAGTAGTTCAGCATTGTTCCACTGCTCACTGTTCCTGTATTGACATACAGATTAGCTTCTAAAGATCAGGAACTCCAGAGATTACAGAGGGAGATGGAGGAGAGGGTCAGAGAAGCAGAAGAGAAGATTGCGCAACAGCAACAGGTGAGTGCAGACTGATGATTGAATACTGACACATTGTGTTTTATCAGAACATTCAAGTGACTATTCACCTTTATTTAAGTTAATTTAAAAGGGAATATTACAAAGATGTAGTTGAGAGGAATGACATTGGAGTTTTTTTGTTTTAACTCAAAATTTAATACAGTTGAGAATATAACTAAAAACCTTCAAGGAGCTTTCCATAGAACTTCCTATTAATCATAGATGTACTGGGGTCAAATTAGTCTTCTGGTTGTGTAAAAATGGCTTAAACACTGCTTGAAAACTGCTCATGTTTAGCTTTAAGAAGATTTATGATCCCTCCACACGGTGTGTGTGTGTGTGTGTGTGTGTGTGTGTGTGTGTGTGTGTGTGTGTGTTCTTGGCACTGCTGTAGTGTTCTGCAGTTGGGTGCCTTGTAATCAATTGTTTTCAGTTGAAGTGATTTTGTATTTTTCTTTTCCATCACAGCAGATGGCATCAGCAGTTTCCAGTCAGGCGTTGTTAGCGACGTGAGTGTTCCATATTCACGTTTACATATAAATGTTTTAGACCTCTTCCACGGATATTTACTGGCCATATTAGAGAGTATTGGCTGCTTTTTACATGTCCTTTTTGTGGTTCCTCTCGTCAGGATTGAAAAGAAAGACAAGCAGCTGTCTGATGTTAGTACAGAGCTGCTTGAGCTGAGGCAGTCGGTGGAGCTTCACAGGAGGAAGAATAATGTAAGCGCAGGTTTTACTTAATCATTAATCTTGAGGTTCTAGTTCCACTCTTGCATAATTTAACTAATTTGAATGAAGACTTGAGTGGTTTGAATTGATAGTTATAATGAAGTTACACGCAGAATTTTGGTACTTGTAGATAAGGGCATGTGTTTTCATGATGCTGACAAAACAGCACTTGCATTGTGGTTGTGTACTTTAGACCTTGTCAGTCCTTGCTGTGTTGCTGTGTATGTGTTATGAACTCTAGACATCTTCAGTATGAAGCACCAACTTCTGTGGGATTTCTATTGCATATGCTCTCGTTATCAGCAGTACTCTGAGCTGAAAGTGCTTTGGAATTCTGGGAATAAATCTGGGAAGACACCACATGACTTTGTTTGCAGTTTCTGTTGAGTGTTTGTAATTGCAGGGAAAACATTAGGTCTTTTACAAACGCTGAATAGTGAAATCCTGTGAGAGCTTCCTGGCTGTAAACATTTGTCTGACTCATGCAGTGTACCCCGGTCTAAGCTATTTGGATATGTTGGTCCATGTGAAGCACATATACTTCACGTATCACATCTTTTATTTCTAGATGCACTTTGGAGAGCTTAATCCATATTTTATTATTATTTGTTTTTGCTCACTATGCATTTGTTTTGTGGTGGCGCTAATATATATTTTTGTACTTTTAGGCTTAGACATTCACTTGGCCGTACCCGAGTCATAGCTGTGCTGTCAGAGCTTTGCTGTAATTGATGGTTTAGCTTCTATATGTTTGTGTTATAGTGTTCGAGGAATCTTTGAGGTCATAATTAGGTGTGATGTTTGCACAGTGTGGTGATCAGTAAAAGTAGGTGCAACACAGTTTTTATTTTGTGAGATTTTGGCCTTTTTTGTATGCTTTGTTTAACTTTTTACAAAAGCTGCAAAACATCAGCATTGCTCAGATGACTTGTGGTCTTGTAATGGTGCTTGTCTTTTCTGTGCAACTACATCTGAACCTTAATGATACAGCTTTATGCACTTTCCATAAAAAAACTGATATTCTGTTAGTTGAATGTTTGTAATATTTTGGGCTGTTGGTCTCATAAATGCCAAACCCATAAAGGGTTTTTCATTTTTTGGCAAGAGTGCGGGCTGAACTGAAAGTGGTGTTTCTCTGAAACTGACCAGGAGCTTCGGGAGAAAAACTGGAGCGCTATGGAGGCGCTGTCAGCCACCGAGACCATGCTTCAGGGAAAACTCAGCAAGACTGTCAAGGTTCGCATCGCAATCCCAGTCTGCTTCACTCTAGAGCTGAATCAGAGCATTTCAATTCAACTCCTGCCATCAATCGAGCAGTGAGATCTGCATTCTCATCAGCTTTGTCATGTAAAGCTGCATACTCATTTTTTTTTATTTGTCATCATTGCTATTTGGCTGCCATGCATGTTGTTACTAACCTAAAAACATAAACCTGCTCAGACTGAAGCCTTATATTGAGGGCTTAGGTGCTTTGCAGTTTGGCTTGGATCATTCTTACTGTATTTACTGGTGATCACCCCCCCCCCTTTTTTGTTCCCCCTTTCATTCATTATGCAAAAAGAAAAAAAATCAATCAACAGCTTTTTTTTTTTGTACTGAATATGTAAATGTGTGAAATGAGTGTGCAGCTCATAAAATGGTCTAGGTTGTCATTTAGTTTAGGGGTCATGTTATTGTCATGTCAGTCCCCTTAATTGTTTGTTTTGTTTTCCCCCCTCCTTCCCATATAATCATACAACCCACACATTTCCATACCCTCCCACCCAGCATGCCCCTCTCCACCTGATTCTGTGATACTGAGTGTCATCAGCTTCTAATTTACCTCTGATGAAATCCGATGAAATGCTTCAGTCAGAAAACAAACAAAAGTAGTAGCTTATCAGTCTTCTAATAGGGATGCACTGATGTGGGAATGTTCATGTGCATATCTGCAGATGCCAATATATAAAGATTTGTAGAAAGTAGAAATGAAGACTAAGTCTATGACAAAGTCTACCTGGATTAGCATTACAGACATTTCTGTAGGGCTGCTAATGCAGTAAAATGAATAAAATGATATTTTAGCACTGTAGCCCTAAATATTCTATTCTCCTGGAGTACAATTTGAAATATTTGTCAAAGCATCTGTTTGATATATATATTTTCCCCCCAAAGCAAATATCTGCCAGTACCAATATGGTTCCGATATCATTTTGCCTCCCTGTTATGTAGTTTAGGATCATACAAGGCTTGACGGGCAATGAATGAAAGATATTTATAAAAATGTTGAGTTCTTTTGTTTGTGGTTTTTTCCTCTGCTGCTTCCATTCTGTTCATACTGTAGATGTTCTCAACAACCCTGCTGTGTTTTAGGTCTGAGGATGTGTGAGTAATTAGAAACTCCTCTGTTAAAAGTGTACTCTCCATGCTTGGCGTGTGCAGAACCCCTAAGTGTACTGAGGTATTTGAGAAAGTGAGGGTGTGGAGAGAGTAGTTCTATAAACAGGCCTGGAGCTGAAGCTCTGCTTACACATCATGTGTAATTCTGCAGTGTCCCAGGCGTCTTCTCTTTTGAGCAGTGGACAGAACGTACTGTCTGTCAGAGTATCTGCTCTAAACCTGCTCCTCCTGCAGGCAGTCTTCACTAAAACGGTATGCAAGCATCTGTTACATAAACTCGGCTTGGATGTTACTGATGATTTTATATAAGCAATCAAGTAATCTACCAATTATTGACAGTTATTTAGGAAAAGACACATGCGAATGGGTGTGTCCATCAGGCTCTGATTCTTAGTGTATGAAAGGCCAGTAGGAGAATTGAAATGTGCAGTGTGATCATGCAAATTGCTCTAATCATCTAATCATTGTTGATTCATCAAGAAGGTGAATTTAAATTGATTTGTTTTTCAGTAATCAAGATTAATTGAAAGTATAAACCTCTCTCTCTCGCGCGCTTTTTCTCTCACGCGCTCTCTCTGTCGTGCTCTCATTTCTGTTTTTAGTAGCTACGGAGTAGATAAATTGCTATAATACCATGGGCTTTTGCAGTTAATTTCTGAACTTAATTATATTTGATGACTGATTAGACTAAATTAACTGTGTAACTTTCATGGTTTTGTCTGTAGCCCTGAGATTTAATTTTAGTTAGTTCACAGTGCTGTGATTCTCTTTTAGCACTCGTAACAAGATCTTGTAATGAGAATACACGTCTGGGGTCAACTTTTAGTTCTGGATTGCAGCAAAATCCACCGCTAACAAGGGTGAACACTCGCTCAAATTCCTTTCGCCCAGGCTCTTTTAAAGGACACATTATAGACTTTTTTTCTTGAGGTCCACTAATAACATTTGAATGGTTTTATGTACCAAAAACAATGATTCATCTTTACATAACCATTTTCCAACCTCTCTTTATCTCTTAGAAGTAAACAGATTGTTGTTGTTGTTGTTGTTGTTGTTGTTGCCTTTATGAATGATTATACTTAAATGACCTCTGTTCTGATTGGCTTTTCTACATTATGCCTCATTTAAAAACAGTCAAGGCTGAAATAATCCTTTATAACTGAAGTGTGAGATGGCTGTAGGTTGAATTGAACAGCTGTAGGCTGAATAGGCAGATGAGGCACGAGCTGTTAGTTAAGCTTGTGCTGAAAGACAAGATCATCATTTTTTTTTTCATAATTGTCAGTCAAGTTGGATGATTTAAATTATTTAAAAGAAGCGATCTACGGCTTTATAATGGACAAAAGTGACTAAATCATCTCTCAAGCTGCATTTTTTTGGTAACGTTAGTTCAAGTCCTGAATCAGCACTGAAATGCTGTCTGGCTTTGGAGCATTCTGTAGCAGCCCATGGTAGATCTTTATTTTTTTTTTATTTTTTTATTTTTTTCCCTCGTAACTATGGTTGAGCTTTTTAAACAGATAAGACTGTGCTGTAGCTTTCCATGCACAGAATAGCTTTCTTCTTGGTACATGATAAAGGGCTTAAAAGGTTTTTTTGTAATTACATCAGTTAAATAAAACAAGTAGGACAACACATAGTGTTGGAGTGGAGACTTAAATTCTCTAAACACATGATTTATTAAACCTATTAAAGTTGGCTGAAACTAATATCAGGAGATATGTTACATAGGTAGAACAATTTTAAGGTCTTTCTACGCCAGTTTACAAGATCACTGTATTAATGTTTATACCTTGCAATTCCAATCAGTTAGATGGAGCAAAGTAGGCACGTATTGACCTTGGTACCACAGATGTTGATTTTTTTATTTCTTTTTTGTTAGCCTATGTTCATCTGTGTATGGGCAGTGGTTGTGATTGTATTTGCATGCACATTTTAGAAACTGGTTTGTGAGACTGCTCAAACTGTAATATAAGTGACCAAAATTTTCGAACGTGTTAGAAATCCATCCGATCACCCCAACTGCTCAATTGGCGCTTGTTTGTTGGGAGTTAATTGGGCATCACTTTCTCTCACTCTTCCCCCAGAATGCATGTAAAAACACTACTGATGAAGCTGAAATTTGGCTGATCGTGAAATTCAACCAGCTACGACCAAATCAGGCTTAAAAAAGGGCTGAAATCGCATAATGTATTCCTGGCTTAGAAGTAGCTGGTCTGCTCCTCTGCACCTTGCAACACGTGATAGCATCGTCAGTCGGCGTGGCGTTGGCTCATACATTAGAGAAGATGAAGCCTTCACTGGGTCATCTCAAAGCTCTGGTCTCACAACAGAACATTTTAAAATGCTTGCTGGAAAGTGCATAAATGTACACACTGATCAGATATTTAACTTGGTGCTATAGGACTACACAACTACAATAAATAAGTTTCTTTGATCATGGATATTACAGCAGGGACTTGAGCTTTTTGTTTTTATTTTGACGTGCATGAAGCTGTTTCTCAAACAGTAAATGAAATGAGCTCTTCCTTTTTTGTTAATTATGTTGCGCCACCTGCTTTCAGTTGGTGCAACAGGCTAGGTCTGGACAGTGAAGGGTTTCGGTTTGCACTGTTTGTTTCTGTGTTGTGTGTGTTTAGATAGGAAAATCCATGGTCTCAGTTGCTAGATAGTACATTGCCTTTCACTATGAAAAACCTGTAGGTGAGTCATGGTCAGTTCTCTGGTGTTTAGATCTTCCCATGTAAAATTCACACGGGTGATGCTGTTATTAGGTTCTTGGGTGTGATTCACAAAATTATGCACTATTTAGAACCAGTGTTTCAGACAGCAGCTGAATCTGTATGAGGTGGTGGAAAATGAGGGAACTGCTTACTCAGTGCTGGATGTGCTGCTGTGTTCCCCTCTCTAGGAGAGTCAAATGGCGCTGGAGTCTGCTGAGGCTGAATGTCGAGCAGTTCTGCACAGACTTCTCCCACATGTGCCCCTGCCCACTGAGCAGGTGAGTAATGCAAATACATACACACAAACATTCTGTAAAGTCCACAATCAAAGCTCTAATATGTCTGTCTTTATTTTTCAGAACCATAAGAAGTGGTTGCAGAACTTTGAGAGCTGCATGAGGGAGGCCTCAGCTGGAGAGTCTGCTGTTGTCATAGACACAACCTCAGGAGCCACCACAGAGGATGGTGATGCCAAGGTGATGCCCACTGTTATCATTCTTTGTGAGCGGTGACCATTTGTCTTTTTAACACAGTCTAGCATGAGTCCTGTGAAGCGTCTCAGAGAAGATATATCATTTCTTTTTCTGCCCATGTCCTGTTACTGACAGCTACTAATATTATCAACAGGGTTTGGCAGAAAAGCTGAAGGATGCAGAGGAGACCCAGAAAGTTCTACAGAAAGACTGTGAAATGTACAAGAAAGTTCTGGCGGAGACGGTGAGATGGGTTCATTATATCTACCATCTTTTTTTATTTTGAATGATGTGTACTTGGCACACTTTATGCAATAGAGTTTAACGGTCCGGTGACCCATTTGTCAGTTTCATCTTGTGCCGTATTTAGAAAGACAGTGAAATCTATTAATTTCTAATCTTGTAACCTAAGTATTTGATCTTGTACTTGGAGTGTTGGCAGATTTGGGCCATTCAGGCAACATAACAAGCTACAGCACTGTTTTATTGGTTATGTGTAAATGTTTGCTGGACTATTCATAGAGTTTCTGCTTATCTAGTCCCAAGCTGTAATGTCATTTGGGTTTGTTGTTGTCAGGAGGGCATTCTGCAGCGGCTCCAGAGCAGTGTGGAGCAGGAGGAGTGCCGCTGGAAGGAGAAGCTGGAAGAGGCTCAGACTGAGCTCAAAGAGGTGCACTAAACATTTAAAGCAACCCACACATCTGACTGGCAAATAGCAAGGTTGCATCAGAGTTAGCTAGAGGCATTATTATTATTAAAACAGCATTAAAGCCAGAAATCTGAACATTCAGGTTTAGTTGTTGGTAATGGAAACTTGGGTATTTAACAATTTATTTTATTTATTTATTTATTTTTTTTACCAGTTAGGACAAGGGTATCAACCTAGTTTCAAAACATATCATAGGCTAAAAGACTTATAAAAACTCCATGTTTAGCACTAATGGAGGCAAATGGGAAAGTAATAGGGTGGCAGTATTACCCGCAAAAATTCAACCTTCACATGTATAATTTGGTGCTCTTTAGCTGCTGCAATGTGAAACCAACTAAACCACATGAAAATGATGCACTGTAACAAAAAACCTAACTCTGATGCAGACTTTAGCAAATACACTTGATATCAAGTGTATTTTTGTAGTGTACTTATTGTCATTGTTTTCATGTTTTTAAATGCCATGAAGTATAGCAAATCAAAATGCCATAATACTCTAAATGTTTTGTCTAGATGACCTTGAAAGTGACTATGCTGGAACAGGAAGTGGACAGACTGAGCACAGATGGCGAACTGGAGAGTGTGAGTTTGCTTTGAGTTTGTAGTCAAACATAAAGAAAGAGGAAGTTTTTGTGTTTTTTTCTTCTTTTTTTTTTTAATATATATATATAAAAAGGTCGAGCCAAAAGTGTGTATGATTACTCTATTTCACAAATGTTACATTTTTCTACACATTTTTCAGTCAGGAATCTATAACTAATCAGTCATTTGTGGTTTTGTGGTATTAGATTTATGAAACTAAGGCATTCTTGTGGTTTAAGGAATGTTTCTGCCTTTTGTGCATCCTGTGTCATTTTAGCTGAGAAGAGATAAAGAGCATCTAGAGTCTGAACTGGAGAGAGCAGAGCGTGAGAGCGCCACCTATGTGTCGGAGGTTCGGGAGGTAAGCAATGTAAAATCCTGCCTTTGTAGTGCATGCGAGCAGTCTTGGTTTAAACTTGTGAAGTGTTTTTGTTATTAGCTGTCTTGTGGTCATGCGTTTGATTTGTCTAACATTGTGTATTTTATTATGAATATTTCTAACAGTAGTTTTGTGATTCCATACATCTGATATCTGTGGGCTCAGCTTTAGTGTGCTCTGCAGTGAGTTCCAGCAGTGTCCTTTGTTGAATTCTAAATAATATCATGCTGATATAAACCAGAAATGATCAGCTCAGCTCTTAATATTCTCAGCATACAAATCGTAAGTATTTATTAAACAATATTCTTGCAGGTTCTATATCTGTTTATTGATTTTCTACCCACAAAACAATAATAGGCCTTCATTTACAGCATTTAGTAGCTGAGTACGTAAGCTAAAGATGTGCAGCTGCCATCACATAGCAACATTTGAAATACATGAAATCGTGATCGGCTTGTATTGAGAGAATTACATGCACCTCATTTTCAGTTGTCTTTGAATGTCTGTTTGGCTCCTGTTCATTTAAAGGGGAATTCCATTGATTATTCAAAATCTATGCATAATTCATTTAGTGAGATGTAAATGAAGTCATTCAGAGCCTTTCAGGTCGCAGTGTCTACAACACAAATGCAGCAGTTTTTATTTACTTTCCAAAATAACCAGTGTGTTAAGTTTTTATATGTAATGTTGATGATAAAATAGAGCTAAATCTGAAATTGCATGTACCTCTCTGCCATGGATGGATTTCTAAAATATGTTTTAGGCCAGAATATCTTAACTATCCTAAAATGATGTCTTAGGCAGCAGCAAACATTTATGACCATTTCATATAATAACAGTGAACAGTTCTAAATTCGGGAATTTCTCTAGAATGAGGCATTTCACATCAAACCCTGAATGATTTTGTTCACATCTTGGCAGTGTAGTTTTGCAGAAAATTCAGTGTAATTCCTCTCTAAGTAAAGTCATCAAATTCAGACGACACAAAGATGTATGAAGGTACAGATGTCTTTCAGGAAGTCCTGTCAGTCCCCAACCCTCCCTTATCCTGCTCTGTGTAGCATTCACATCTGCTTCTAAATCCCCACCACACACACACGCACACACACAAATCCCTAAATATGTCAAACTTCATTGCAGCTCAAAGATCTGTTGACCGAGTTACAAAGCAAACTTGATGGCTCATATACAGAGGCTGTCAGGCAGAATGAGGAGCTGAATTTGGTAAGCTTTTGCCCACATGCAGTAATGAAGTAGCTTTAAGTTTCTCTGCTGTCCCCTGTGATCAGGGACCCTCGGCTTCTTTTATGGCAAAGAGTTTCTATCCACAATCCACAAATTAGGATTTTTTTTTAACTTATTGTCTTCTTTAAAGGATCTACAGTCATGCTGCAATGTGGATATACTGTGATGCTTCAGTTGTGAAGAAGAATAGGATAGAGGATGGAGCACTCCTTGCCAAGAACATGCTTTAATCAACTAACTAACACCTGAGACACTTTCACTCTTTGGTGACAAGACTTAAACTTGCTTTTGCCACTGTTGCTTCTGAGCAAACCTCGGAACGCACACTTGGACACTTAGTCCTGTCCAGCTATGCTTTCTGTGTCACTCACAATGTTAATGTTTGTCTTTAAAACTGTCTTTCTGTCTGGTCAGTTGTTCCTGTGTTCTAACCCTAATTTTCCTAGTTATTTGTGCTTGTCCTTTTGTCAGTGTTTTGCATTTGGTGCTCTTGTTTTTGTGTAATATTTTTTGTGTAATCTTTGGAACAGTCAGTGGAATGCCTCATTTTTATCTTTACATCTGTTAATCTCATAGAATTTTGGAAAAATGTTACACAACTAATCCATAAGTTCATACTTGCTTTAGAAAATCTCCATTTTGGAAACCATAATCTTAAAATAATCCTCGGGGGAATATATTATTGAAATGATTAACACAAGTCACCTGCTGAAACAGGTCAGGACTTTGCCCAGTTTTTCATTAGCTCTATTGCTAACATTTAGGCTACTCCCCTTTCCTGGAATTGATCCCAGTTTCCAAGCAGTCATAATGTGGAGGTCAAAATGGCACAATCAGGAGCATTATTATGTTGATGAACATCTGGTGAAGAGTATCTCTTCAAAGCAGGTTCTAAAATATAGTAATTAACCCTCAGTGTAGTGACTGGTTGTGTTTGGGATTTTCTGTTGTAGCTGAAGACACAGCTGACTCAGACCTTGGGGAAGCTGGAGACTGAGGAGAGTGAACGGCAGAAAGTGGCTGCAGATCTCTACAAGGTAAGATGTTTGTGGCTGTGAAATGTTTGTCTTATTGTTGTATGTTTACTTTTGGTCAGTGAGTTGTTTATTCCCTCTCATGTGTGTTCTGTACCCATCACAGGCCCAGCAGTCTCTGGAGCTAATTCAAGAGGAAATCTTAAAGGAGGTGGGCCAAGCTGACTTGATCCAGAACAGTAGCCTTACCACACAAACGGTGAGGAGCACTTTTCAGTTATGATAACACACTTAAAGTAAGCTCTCCTCTTTCATTTCAGCTGAAGACTCCTTTGTAAGTTAAAGGTTAGGTCCTGATGCAGTGGTGGTAAAGGTTCCAGTAGTCCCTAGAAAAATGTATCTGCTCAGATGTTGTGATTAGGGCTGCAACAATTGCAGTAACACCACAATATCAACACTCCAGTGGTAACTACAATATCAAAACTAGTCATTAGTACTAAAGCATTGAGTCTTCTCAGTACCCCAGTGGCAGTGGTATTGCATGTTGCGGTAGTGGTAAGGGACCCAAACGTTGCAGGCTTGAAACTTAGCCATTGCAGAAGCTCTACTTGTGTCACTAAACAGGGACTGAATGAAAAAAAAATGCCTTAGAAGGTTTTATTCATAAAATTTAGCTCCTTTTTTTACACTTGTGTTTTTTCTAGGAGGAGGTGGACCGCAAGGAGAAGATGACTGCAGGGCTGAACCAGACAGTACGAGAACTACAGGAATTACTACAGGCTGTAAATAGACAGCTCACCAAGAGGCAAGAGAGGGTGAGATTGACATTTCACAAAACCATGTATACGTGACCTTAGTTACTCCTAGTTAAAGTTGCCATGTCTCTTCACACCTGATATTGTAAATAGAGTGCATTCATAGCTGATGGTTCTATTGTGATATCTGATTTTGTTTTCTCTGTGCCTTATTTTAGGATGAATAACTGAAATAAAATGAAAGTGGTGTCAGTTTGTCTTCTGTAATGGCCAGTCCCAACCTACACACTGCAGATAAACCCTGTCAAACTCTGGCCCCTTCCGCTTCCCTTCACACCAAATCTGATGTGTGCTCTCCAAACCCACAGCACCAACCCTGCAACCTGCTATGTAAGCAGGAGACCATCTCCCCCTCTTTTCAAGACCAAGCCCTGCTAGGGAGCGAATGGGGAGGGGCTGAAACCTGACAGCATACACTCCAAGACCTAATCAAACCGGATCCTTTTTCATGACTGTGTCGACTCCTCTGCAATGGCATTCCTCATTTTCAGTAGAGTTACAAGAGCAAAGGCATCCGAATAGACACAACGGTTAGACTTGTGTGCGTTTTGATTAATTTTTACCCCTTTTCAGTCAAAACACTTTGAATACTACTATTTTTTTGTTAGTTCTGTTTGACAGGAGGGGTTTTTATCCTTTCATAAACATGACATTTGAGGATTATTTGTGTTTTAAAGACTATGAGATAACTGTTAGGATCTACTGACACTCACTTTGTTGTTTTCAGCTCATGTCCTGCAGTCTCAAAAACTCACACTTATGTACATTACATATGCAGATGAACATACACGCATACGAACAAATACACTCCTTTACACACTTGAGTTTTCTGAATGTTATGGTATTTGTTTTTCCTGAGTACCCATTTTTAAGTAAGAGTTATGTTAATGACTAAGGCAGGCGGGTTGAGTCTGATCTGTGCTACTTTTTAACGCCAGTGCACACTGCTGGCATTGGACGTCAGTTGCACTGAACAGCGGTTTCTTCTACTGTAACTACTTCTCAAAGAAAGAGGGTTAAAAAGAGAGGCATCTCGAAATCTAATCAATATGCTCTATACTGTTGCTAATTTCATTAACAAAGAATATTTCATTTTTTGTAAAAACAGGTGAACCGTTATTAAAAGGGGTGCTTGATAAATATGTAATGTGTCGTCTGCTTTTATTAGAGTAATTGGCAGCTTCTGTCAGTGTACACTACAGTACATACCCACATAAACATGTAACCACAGTCAGGTTGTAGCTTCAAAGATAACTGGCAATTTATGTTGGTTACTTGCACTGTATCATATTGGTCAGTGGGGGGCAGTGATACTCCAGCTTCTTCCTCATGGAGCAAGAGAATAAGTCACTTACTGTAAAAGCTGCATTTTCATCCAAATGCTATATGTTTAACCAAAGACTCTACTTTTAGTGCTCAATAGGGATCCTAATTAAACAGATTTTGCTGGGATAATGTTATTGTATTGTAGGAAAATATTTTTTGGTTTGGCTTTGGTTTTCACTGACCTTTCATGTTTTCCTTTGCTTCAGAAGTGATAACTAAGAAAGAACTTGTAGAATGTAGGTGCTTTTTCATTGCTTATATGTTGCATTGATGTGGGTTACCAAATATGCAACAAAGACGGGATTCTTTGAAAGACTAGAGTTCCCCACATTGTACCAGCCTGATTTATTTCCTCTTTTGTGGTGATCATGGTCACTGAGGTCTTTTGACACCTAAGCCTTAAAGCTAATCAAAGGTTTTTTTTTAATCTAGTAAAATTTGGTAACTTTGGCATCCTGCAGAGTGGGGAACAAGGCTTTAATGCTCTGAGATTATTATGGACTAGGTGAAGCTTCTGACATGGTTGCTGTATGTGCTCTACTGTTGCTATTTCTGTTTTAAGACTTCGTGGTTTTATTACAATTTGTTTCATGTTGAAAAATTCCCACTTTTTCCATGAAGAGTCAGCTCAAGACAAGACACCAGCAAACAGGTTTTCAGTAGTGTTATATTCCGACCACTTTGGGAAAGATCATCCTCAGAGTAACAAAAAGCACAGAGCTGGTATACCTATAGGGCCTATTGATGACTCATGTCATATGAAACAGGAGGCGCAAACAGTACATGTAACATAATAGGAAATATAGGATAAGTAGATATAATACTTCCTTCCAGAAGACCGAGACGTGGGGTATATAGAGTGACGCTACTTGTTTCAACGTGTGTATTAAACAGGTTTACGAAGTCAACAGAGTAAATTGACAATAAGTTCTTTATAAGTTCACCTTTGGCAGTTGTGTCACCTGAACTTCCCACTGCACTGTGTGAGGGCCATGAAGTGCACAATAATGGCACTTTTGTGTGGTTCTCAGGTCAGCAGACTGTGTAGCACAGCTTCAGCACATTCCAGCCATTCTCCCTGCATATCACACTGCAGTCAGCTGATCCCAAACCTGCCCCATGGCCCTGACCTCGTCAGCATGGAGAGCCTAAGTCACACAGCAGAGCCTGCCCAACATAATATCAGACCAAGCCGAGTCAATGACGCACACAGTCCACGGTATGATGTATACTACAAACAGGCACTATTTTGCAGTGTTCAAATAAGTCCAAGCAAAATCAATGACAGGATGGTCAGTTGATAATGAAGCCAAACATTTTGAGATAAATACAAGGGATGGAGCTTATTATAGAGTAGAATGCACATTAGTTGGAGTGTTAGTTTGTCTCTCAGTAAAGCAACCCCTTTTTCCTACAAAATCGAGAAACACTGGAGTGGCTGCAGGATGATGGACTTTAAAGAGATGGTTCAGACAAAATCTAATGTACACACTTTTCCCATTACCAACAATAATCATCAATCATCAAAGATATATTTGGTGTCTTATGTTTGCTCCTTTAGTTTTGCATTGAAGATATGTTGCTAATGTAGCTAACAAGTAATGAAGGCTTATATTCACCAGTTTGGCTTTATGCAAACTGCTTGCACGCTTGCCTCAAAATGCATCACACATGGTTTCTGGAACTATATATCATGCTGTCATCTTTAAAAATGCATATCTATAAAGTTGTAGCAGCAATTATGAAACCTGATTTTTGTCCATACATGTGTCCATTTTCATAGATAACTATGTCATACAGAGCCAGAAACAATGTGAAAATTGTGTAAGTCTGGTTTTTGGAATTACCATAGGAGATGGGAGTAGCCTAAACCTACACTCAAGTAAAAGTATTGAAGATTAGTGAATAACAATTCAAGTAAAACTATCTCTCTCAGAAAACAAGAAGTACAAGCAGGTCAAAAAAACTTCGGAACTACTTAAAGAGGAATTCTACTGATTTTTCAAAATGTTTGCATAATTAAATCATTATAATGTGAACAAAGTCATTCAGAGCAGTTTCATCTGAAATACTCCATTAGAATTGTGCACAGTAGTGGCGATAGGAACCAGACATCTGTAGCATTTAATGCATCTAAAATAACCTCACAAGTTACTTCATGGAATGGTTACAAATATGCTGACATTGTTTTGTGACAGTTTGGCACTAAGCTCTTGGCCTAAAACCAAATCCATTTATGGCGGAGAGGTTAATGCAGGGCACTGTAAGGCAAAAAAGTACCCAAATAAAACAGGTTTTTTCAGATTTGTCACTACTTTACCATCATCAAAATTACAATGGTGGTTCCTGTCACCTCCATCGTAAAGGCTGTAAAGAAATCTCAGTGGGTTTGTTTCTCTACAGTGCAGCATTTCATGTTAAACCACTCTGAAAACCACTGAGTGGAACTTTTTAGTTCATCCATGCATCTATCAGCAGAGGATAGGAAGTTTGATAGACACTATTCTTCTCTTTTGGTCAAAAATAAAATGATAAAGGACCTAAATGAGACTGACCTATCATAAAACAGTGCAGATGTTTGTCATCAACCTATATAATTAAACACATTAATGGAATTAGTAATTAAATGTAAATGAATAAAATGTAACTGAGGAAACAGTCCACCTCTTTGCTCACAAATATACTCGAGTCAAAGTAAAAGTATCATTTAAAAATGCTCAGGAAAGTACAAATCCAATACAATTTGACTTGAGTACATGTCAGTAAATGCAGCAGGTTACTACTAAGTAAGGAACCTGACTTTGGTCAGCATGTAGAGTGGCATACCAAAGAGTGATTGTCAGCAGTATGTCATCTGTCTCAGGCTGCTGAGTGGGGCTTGCTGAAGGCAGGGTCATTTTGGAAGGGGTGGAAGAGATCATATAAACGCAGAGTAGGGCATTAGCACTCTGTCATAAGCTATACCTGCATGAATCAACACCTTTCCAAAGATCACCTTGGAGCTTTGCTGTCGTCATGCAGCCTGAAGGCAGAACATAATCATGAAGTCATCTGTTATAGTTATTTACATAGGACACACAAAGACATGCACAGGCCCTCTGGTTACCCAGAGTACCCAAATAGGCATAATGTTCACTGATCCATATTGTAGTATTTCCTGGGTAGGATCACAATAACACATGAGAGGAAGTGGTGAAGATGAGTAATTGGCCGTGTGCCTCAAACACGTCACCATCCAGTTCACATGCCACATGCGTCACTCTTGCGCAATCCTACTTTCCGCACTCTGTCGATATGTGTCATGACTTTTGTCTTCCTGACAGTTCGTTTCTCCAATGTGCACAGTCAAACACAGTGCACAGATTAAAACCAGACATATTTTTTAAGAACAACAGCTCCTTGCATCTGTTACCCATCTAGATGGTATGTGCGACGCAAGCCTTTGATCCTTTGTCTGGAAGTGTGTTTGTGAGTGTGCATGCAGGTTTGTGCATGTGCCTTGGAGACTGGATCAAAGTTCCAGAGTAAAGTTACCGTATTCTTTTGCTGAGCTACTTTCTCACTATGCAGTGGTTGCCATAAGTAGCCCACGGGTTAGTCGTATGGCGTTTACGGCACATCATTGTCTTTTCAACCCACAGATTTGTTGGGGTCTGGCTTGATTGACTCCAAATGGAGTGAACTGAATAAACATGATAATAGAAACAAAGGGAGCAGAGTTTCAGACTAGCCCGCTGTGTTAACAACAGATTAAAAACAAATTAGTGTTGCAGAGATTAAAATTCTGCAACTATGGTGTGATGAACAATTATTTCATTCATAATCCTCTGCAAATGTAAAGACTACCCTATTTGTATTGTCAGAGGTATTAGCTGAATATCTAATTTATGATATACACTATATGGACAAATGTATTGGGACACATCTCTGAATCAATGAATTCAGGTGTTTCATTCAGTCTCTTTGCCACAGGTGTATAAAATCAAGCACCTAGTCATGAAGTCTGTCTTTACAAACATTTGTGAAAGAATGAGTGGTTCTAAAGAGCTCACTGAATTAGAGTGCGGTACAATAATAGGATGCCACCGTTACAAGTCAGTTTGCAAAAAATAGATATTCCACGATCAACTGTGAGTGGTAGCATTGAAAAGCGGAAGTGTTTAGGAACCACAGCAACTCAGACATGAAGTGGCAGACCATATAAAGTTACAGAGCAGGGTTGACAAGTGCTGAGGCGCATAGTGCATGAAAGTCGCCATCGCTCTGCTGACTCAATAACTGTTGAGTACCAAACCTCCTCTGGCATTAACATCAAAATAAAAACTGTGCTGGGAGCTTCATGGCATGAGTTTCCATTGCTGAGCAGCTGGATGCAAGCCTTACATTACCAAACACAATGCCCATCATCAGATAGAGTGGTGTAAAGCAGGAAATCACTGAACTCCGGAACAGTGTAAATGTACTCTGTGGAGTAAAGAATCACGCTTCTCCATCTGGCAGTCTGATGGAGTTTGGGTTTGGCAAATGCCAGGAGAATGTTACCTGCCTGACTGCATTTTGCCAAATGTAAAGTTTGGTAGAGGAGGGATAATGCTATGGGGTTGTTTTTCAGGGGTTGGCCCAGACCCCTCAGTTCAGTGAAGGGAAATCTTAATGCTTCAGCACACTAGGACATTTTGGACAGCTGTATGCTTCCAACTTTGTGGGAACAGTTTGGGGAAGGCTCTTTTCTGTTCCAGCATGACTGAGCCCCAGTGCACAGAACAATATCCATAAAGGCATGGTTGGGTGAGTTTGGTGTGGAAGAACTTGACTGGGCCTCACAGAACCCTGACCTCAACCCCATCAAACACCTTTGGGATGAACTAGAACAGAGATTGTGAGCCAGGTCCTCTCCTCTAACATCAGTGTCTGACCTCACAAATGCTCTTCTGAATGAATAGGCAAAAATCCCAACAGATGCACTCCGAAATCATGCAGAAAGCTTCCCAGAAGAGTGGAAGCTGTTATAGCTGCAAAGGGGGGACCAACTTTATATTAATGCCTATGGATTTAAAATAGATGTCAAAAAAAAGCTCCTGTAGGTGTAATGTGTAGGTGTCCCAATACTTTTGTCCATATAGCGTATAATAAATATAACACATACAGTGGCCCCAAAAAGTATTTAGACATTTAGACAGCCTATCGTCTCCATTTTTCATTTTATTCCAATATATTAGGTCTACTTATGTCATGTGGTTTTACATACTAACAGTCATAATATACATAACATTTTCAAGCCTCTCTTTATTAAACAATAGACTTAATCAGACTGTTTGCTACTGTGCTTGAAAGACTGACACATGTAAATGACTTCTGTTCTGATTGGCTGCCTTATACTGTGCCTCATTCAAAAAGCAGAGCTGAAACACGTCTAATAATGTCATAATGTCAATGTGAAAGGCTGGGGCTAAACCGCTCTGGCCTGAAAAGGCGGTTTTCCATTATATGGATCCTATAAAATGTTCATTGTTCATTGTTTCAGGAAACAAAATATCAAACCAAGAGGCATTTATTTTAAACAGACCACTCCAAGACTGTTGCTTACTTTTTTGGCAAAGTACTCTTTTAAAAGGTGGCTGGTTTGTTTCAGATTGTTAGTGTTTGAACAGTTTCTTTGCAGACGTCTGCTGGTTTAGTTCCAAAATGCCTTTGTACTCTTCTGAGTTCATGATCCCATCCGACAGCACTGTAAGAAAACCCCCCCAAACTTGATGTTTCCAACTCTGTAGTACTTGTAGTGCAGTCTGACTGGAATTCTTCTCCAGGCCTTCTCCATTTCAAAGCCTAACATCAGTCTGATGTTTTGCTAAAAGTGTTTATCTCTGAAACAAATACCATTTGGTTAAACAATTTATGAAGGACTCTAAAGATATTTTATTCATTTTTGCCAATGGGTGAAATGTCTAAATACTTTTGGAGCCCATCCTAAATATCCAGCTGGCTTTAAACATGTGCTAAATAAGATCAGAGTTTACATGCCATGACATTTCTCACTGTTCTTCTGCATTTGTGGTGAAATGTATTTTGCTGCTGTCGGAACAAAATCTTGCATATCCAAAATGGTGACTTTACAGGAGAAGGAAAAAACACTTTACTTTTAATGTAAGTCAGTGTAACCAGACTTTTTTCCAAGTAATTTTAAGTGTTTTCTTTTGGTCCATTCATCATGAATTTACTGACAATGTAAAGGGCAACATGCATTTTCAAATTATGTCAAAAACTGAAAAATGACAAAAATGGAGATACAGGGTTTTGTTCCAACAGATTTATTTTCTTACCTATTAACTTGCTTAATTACTTACAAATAGGGGTCAGGGGAAGAGAAGGCCGAAAAGCGTCAGTTGAGCAAATTGGAGGTGACACATTCATCAGCGACGTGTGAATGACTACACTGATGACAAAGATCATGGAAGACTGAGACAAGGGCCAGACATGTCTGGGAAGTTTGTCCAGTGTGTACAGACAGCTTACCATACACAAGGCATCAAACAAAATAGCACTGTTGAATTATAGAGAATATACAACAAGATGTTTCAAAACCGTATATGTTGCGATTATACGTAGAGTGTTTTATGTACAGTCCCACAGTTTGACTCTGCCCCAGCTAGACTTACCCAGGGGGAGAGTGTTTGAACAAACATCACCCACAGAGAAAATGGCTCATTCATGTGCACTGATCTGTTGGAGCAACAAAAGGACAGAAAGGATGTTTTTTGTCTTAACCAGTGATTATACACTACAGTAACCCTTAACAGCACACAGCCTGATGGAAGGTTACACTATAATTTATATTTCCAAACCTTGTGGCTGCAAACAGTAGTTTTCCATAGCTATCACACAGAAACATAGCATCCTAAGGCTGCAGGTGTCTCCTTACTATTATCCACTGATATGGATCATTATTAAAGTTTAGAGGCTCTGTGCTAAGCTCACACTTCTTCTAAACAGCCTTAAGGTTTAATGTGCTGAAACCAGAGAGCTGTTTTACTGCAGCTTAGTGGTTCCTTAACATTCCAGCAAAATGCTGTGGATAAATTATAAAGGTGACGGAAAGTCTGCCTTTTCTTTCAGAAATGCTGACCCGCGGTAATAAATTCTTTCCAAAGATTAAACCTCCAGCTTGTTATTTCCTGTTTAAAGATGTGAAGTATTTTGCCTCTTAAAAACATCTTACATTCTGCACATGTTGGTCTATTTACGGGTGAACAAGAGCCAAAACTTGAACTTGCAGCAAAAAATACGCTGTATTTTCTTTTCTAACAAACGAACGCCATTTGAATGCAGTACTTATCCAGCTCACATAAAGTACACATATGGGTGTGACTGTCCCTTTAAATATTTTGAACTGTTACTCTTTGTTTACATAATTGAAGGTGCCGCCTCAGACCGTGGCGATCCAGGGCTGTTCCACTTGAGGGGGTGGCTCTACTTTCACGTCAAGCTTGTTTCCTTGGAAGTAACCCTGACAAACAGGTAATATTCTTGAAATTTAGCACGAGTATTTTTGAATTTTAGCGTATTAAATGTCAAAAAAGAGAGAGACCAATGTAAAGTTTGTACAGATTTCACAGCGTCCTCCCCCCGTACAAAGTAGGCGTAAGTGAGTGGTGTAATCCACCCCCTACCGTGTAATGTTTTTCCACTTGGCAGAGAGAGGGGTGGAAGCACGAAGTTAGGCGTCTTCAGTGATTGTGAAATGTTTCGGAAAGGCGATATTTTATCTGTTCACCCTGTATCTGATGCATGAATTAATCGAATTTATTTTGAAAAAAGAGGAAAGCTTGTGTGGGAGCGGGAAAGAGGCGGAAAATGGCTGTTAGTCGCGTCCTTTGAAGTATTTTTCCTGTGATCTATTTTTTTTTCCCCACTGGACTGGGTCGACTAACTGCAGCCTGAGACGCGCTCGCTTACTGAAGTGAACAGCCTCATGTTTTCACCGGGTCAAGAGGAGCACTGTGGACCCACGAAAGAGCCTGTGAAGTACGGGGAGCTGGTGGTTCTCGGGTGAGTTTAAAATCAATCAGTTTTTCATTTTTCAGAAACGCTGTAGATGAAAAGTGAAGTTGGCTCACTCGTCTGTGCGAGCTCACACTGTGTGGGGGTAAATAAGCTATGTGTCTGAGGGGAACACGGGCTGCTGTCTGACGTTTCACTTCGCACAAACCTGAATCTACGTCGTTCTCCTAATTCTCCACACGGAAAGTGCCTGTTTACACAGTCGGTATTTTGGACGCGCGAGCGGTCCTCCCCCATCCCTCGCAGTTCACGCGCTCACGTTACTCAACAAATGAAACACGTGCGCGCTCCCCTTCGAGCATTCACCACGCAAAATCCAACTTGGGCCTTACTTTTTACTCTGCCAGGATGGAGGACTAATTATTTGGATATATCTCGTATTACACTCGCCTAATTATAGCAGCTAAACACACGCTGATTATTACTTAACGCCTGTAATCACGTTAACCAAGTTTAGCCCCAACACCAGCCCTCGGAGTTTCTGTTTTAGAGCAGCTCTGCTGAATTTACTGTGTTGCATTAATTTCACTACGCCGGGCTCCTCTCTTCACTTGCTCGGAAGTTCCAGGGAGATTTAGAGCTCCGAAGGAATTCGGAAGTAGGTGTATTTCCCCCTATACCCCCAGTGACCGAGCCAGTCCATTGGCCCCTTTTACAGGGTTTCCTTCTCTCAGCTCCATCGTAAATCAAGTTTATTTGATAATGTAGACCAAGGCTGCAGATATGAGCACCCTTTAAGAGCGACCAGTACCATTGAAATATAAAACCTTAAAGTTCATTGAGTCATGGCTAGAGGGAAATTAATGCTTCCCACATTTTCCTGTAAGCCTGCATTTTGTGGTTGGTCTTGTATTTGGTCTTCATTTCTAAACGTTTTGTGGTCTCTTCTCAGAGGGATATTAAGAATGCAGTTTGCTGCGCTGGTCACATGTTTACTATCCGTGTGATTACGAAATTTACATTTCCAAAGAATGCAAATTGTTTCATTCGTAGTGATTGACCAACATTAGGCAATGCTTGGCAACTGATGGCCACATCTGGATAAATATACTATCCTCACAAAATATTTGTTCGTGATCCAGTGTGCTGTTGCAGTTTCTATTCGCTCAGTGTCAAGCCTAACAACAGTACCATGCCTTTGCTGTCCTGCCTGGCACTGCCCGCTGGCACACTCAGGGGAGAGACCATGGCTGAAAGAGCGTATTATTGATCTGGGCACAGGCACTCCACAGTCCTGCTGTCTCTGTTCGTTGTCCTAACTGGCCTGACTGGCCTTATTGATAGGGCTTTGTATGACCCTGCTGGCCTCTTAGTGAAGACACCTCTGGCTTGGCAGTTTTATTTTCAGTGACTGATCTTTATGGGTGAAACTGAGGAAGAAGGATGTGTCTGAGCCACTGAGTCTTTGATAATGTCCTGTTTTCAGTGTCATGTGTCTTGCTCATTCCTGAAATGGCCACACAAACAACCACATTTAAACAGTCGTTTCAGAGAAGTGAAATGGCTTCTGCTGCTCCAGATATGTTGTTAGGTAAATATACCTCATCAATTTCAGGAAGATGAACTTTGCAGATAGTTTGGATTGATTTTTAAATCCTGATAGCATTGTGCTCTGTTAATGTGGCTTTAATTATATAGTATATAGTATATAAGTTAGAAGTTTCCTGAAGTGATACTGCAAGCTTCATATTAAAGCATGCATGGAACAAAAAAAAAGGCTTGAAATAGGGTTGGAGACACAGATATCTGTTGAGTAATAATGTATATTGTTTGAATGGACACACACGTCTAAACCTCTGTGTCTTTTTGCACAGACCTGCTTTGCATTGCCTTTTGGATGTTGTTGCCCTAATAGTCAGGATGTGATCTGGTAGGGCATTTGGAGGAAATATCTAATTGCGATTTAGTAATTATGTTTATAGTTTTTATGTCAATAGTATACAGAACCTTTCGAGTATTGTAAAATACTGGGGGGGAAAGGGGAATGCATAGAAATCTGTAACCATCAGGCTGTTTTTTCAGTGCAAGAAAGAGCAGTAGGAATTGTGAGTCTGTTAGCCTGGCATAGTGCTAACTAGGAGGATTCAAAACTGTTATGTAATGAATGAAGAATACATTACTTGAATGTCTGTTACAAGCGATAAATCTCCATGTTGGCGCTAGAAGTTAGTGGAGATTAGCTTTACTGTAGCAGTAGCTAACGGTAACATTGTTCGCATGCATATGCATTTCTGTCCACCCATCAAAATGAAATTAGTCCTTGCATGGGTGGCGTGCATAGCTGATCAGTAGGGTTTGGTTGTCTCTGGCTGGCTGAACTCTATCTATAGGTAGTTTACAGGCTCGTGATTTTTGTTATGTAAATTTCCCGTAGTTAATAATGTTTAATGTGAATCTGTGAAATTCCACTCCTGCAATGAGGTTTTTGCTTTGTGAATTGTGGTGAAAATGCTGATGGGTCTTTGCAAGAGGCCCCTGATTTAAGGACTGGTGCAGTTAATCTCTCCCACAGAGCGTTAGAGGATAACTCCACCACCCTCTTTGACTAAGGTCAAAAGGGAAAGGGATTACAATTAGCTAGTTAGAGATGAGCTCCTCCCTGAAAGAGGATACCATGGACTCACTTTTACTACTCCTCTTATCTTGCATCTTCTGACTCTCAGATTTGAGTACTATAGATAAAGAACATCAGCCAGAGAAGCTCACAAGCTGCAACCGTGGTGATCAACCTTCGAACAGCTGCCTATGTTTGCAGTTTGACACAGGATTTCCTTGCCATGGCATGCAGTTTAAGTGCCTAATCCTGAGGTCCTGATAGTTTTTCATTCAAACTAGTTCAAGCAGTGTGGTCACCCATTAATGTACATACATTTTAAGTGTACAAAATGGATATATGGATAATGAGTCTAACTTAACAAAAAAAGTTTTCTAACACTGAATCTAGTGGGTGCTGAGGTGAGCCATTGGGTCATTTTTTCTCAAACGTTCTGTTGAAAGATATAACTTGTCCACACACTGTAATATGAAGAAGAAGTTCGACTGAGAACCCACTTGCCAAGGTGTTTACAGTAAATCAGGTAAGGTCAAAAAACAGTGTCTTGTGTCATATTTCCACCAGCCCAGTGCTGCTGTAGTTTCATCTACGAAGTGCTAGTGTCATTTGACAGAACACACTGCAATATGTTTTGTGCTGTTAAATCCGACAAGCTCTTATAATTAATTAAAAACTCAGATTTTTAAATTTTTCCTTCTGTCATACACAGGTACAATGGATCTCTCCCCAGTGGAGATCGAGGGCGGCGGAGGAGCCGTTTTGCCCTTTACAAGAGAGCCAAGGCCAATGGTGTCAAACCCAGCACCGTACACATCCTAAACAACCCCCAGGCGAGCAAGGTAACTAAAAAACAGTTCATAACACCTTCATTATTATGTTTAGCGTATTGGTTGGGGGAAACAGAGTAAGTGAGTTGACTTAACATGGTGACTAGAGTAAGATGGGTGTTTGACAGCCTCATCAGCCAGAATATGTCCGCATGTGTTGCTGTAATAGCTTTCTTGCTGAGCCTTTCCAACCAAACAAAAAACTTCAGTAATCACCATAGAAGCAGCATTCCCAGCTGTGGTATCTGGCAGGGAACGTCACCAATAAGATGCTGGAACCAGACTGCACTGCTGGTCGACAGGTGGAGTGATGTTGGAGGCTTTCCCCCTTCTCTGACGTTGAACAAGTTGTTTTGGGCGTGGGTGTGTCTGAATGGAATTCCATTGCTGTTAAGATGTGCTTGAGGGGCTTGGCAGATGCCTCTGTGGTTAAGTGTTTGAATAACATGCATATGGAAATGAAGCACTGACAAATTGTGAAGGCAGCTTTGAGATATCGGCTCTTTTCCCATACAGTGCAACTTTTTTCATTGTATGTTGCACCAGCTGGAAACATCTGATCTGGGCCATCTTGGCTCCAGAGCGTTTAGTCTTTGTATGTTTAGTGACTGGCTCCCCCTGTCATGGCTGCTGACTGTGCCCTTTTGGTGGTGTTCCAGTAGACTAAAGGCTAGCTACTAACTACCAGTGTTGTCTGTCCAAGAGTATTGTGCTCAGTGACAAATGGCTCATCAGTGTTTTTGCCTCTGCAGTGAATGGAAACCTTTTTTAAAAGACCAGAAAAAAAAAATGAATCAGTCCTGCTGTTCTGTGCGGCTTGCATTACTTTCTCCTCCTGGAATAGTGTAACATTTCTTTCTAAATGCAGCGCTGATTGTTTGAGGTGATTTGACCTTTTTTGAAGAGCACTGTTAGGGAAAGCTACACCAGTTCTTAAGAGACTAAAGGTCTGCTAGAAGTGGCTGATTGTTCAAATGTGCTTGTTTGGGACATGGCCAACAGACCAGAACTTTCCCTCAGTCGTGTCTGTCAGGGACTCAGAATAGCCATGGAATTTAGCCACTTCGTTTTCACGTTGCATGCATCCATGTTCCTCCTCTCCTTTTTTGCCTTTAACCTGCTTGCAGGATTCAGGGCTGTATTCATGCGTTCTTAGGACACTGACATAAAAATGATGTATAGCAGCAGACTAGATATTACATTAATGAAAAGAAGCTTAGATGTGAAAAGGCAGGATATTTAAAAGTGAGATTTATGCTTACTAATTCCAACTCCACAAAGCAAGCCACGTTTTGCACGAAATTCCCTGGCATGCTTATTTCAGTTTTTGGGGGAAATTGGTGGGGTTTTGTTGCTGTTGGTCACTCTGCATTCCACTGTCATGCTGAGTTAAGAGTGCCTGAAAATAGCTCTGTGCACACTGTCATCTGTGAATCATGCTGCTCTCAGGCTCTGCCACACTCTGTGTTCTGACTCTCAGCTCCAAGGCCTTCTCCTGCCCCGGGCACCAGCCCTCAAGGTGTTAAAGAAGGAGTAGCTGCTGCCTAGCAGTGACACATGCTGCAGCTGCATTATTGTGATGTTAAAGTGTTACAAAGAATAGTCATTCTGATTACACATAGTCTTGCTCTGAACTGTGGCAACTGGGCCTGCATTCAGGCAGGTCACAAAATGTCACCCAACTCTTCACAGAACAATGTGTGATTGTTGTTGTCTGTGGAGGTTTTTCAGCGAGTGATGTTTCATTGTCAGTATTGCATTGTGAGCTTTGCAGTATTGATGGCTGTTTTCAGTGGCAGCAGGCTGTAAAACTACAGCGTGCTGTGACCCATAGCATCTCCTCACAGTTTTCCTCATAGAGCTTAATTGTTAAAGGGTACAGGCTGCTAAGAGATGCAGTATAACAGGGCAGTGTTTTCACAGTGGGCCTCAGGGCCTATTGTCTCCGGTCTTTTTTGGTGCTTTTGTATCCCACTGTAAGTTAGGGATGGGGTGGGGGATGGTGGACCCCCTGTGGAGCTGGAAGTAAGAGGGAAGTGCTGCACCCCCACTGTTCCTCCATGTTTTAACTTGCATGTAGTTCTCACTCACAAACACTCACCCTTATCTTCCAGTGCTGAAATATGATTATGGACTATGAATTCAACTACACTCTAAAACTCTCTCGCATGCACACAAACAAATTCGTACTCTGTGTTCACTCTTCATTCGTGCTAAGGATGGGCAACCTACTTATGTTATTTTGATTTGTTATATCTTATATATATTATGTTTGTAAAATGTTGAATAAATGTCATTGTAGAGTGAGGCACTATCTAAAATATTTTGGGTTTTACTATATATATTTTAATTAAGAAATATTAATACATTTCAGTTAAGGAAGCTACACATCTCTGCTACAAATGAAAACTTTAAACTAACTTTATTTCAAGCATCTACTGGTTGTGAACAGTTTAGCAAGAATTGTTGTTGATACCAACATCCGCTATTTTTCATGTACTTATCTGCCGATGCAGATTAATATTTATAAGATGTAGAAACTGGGACTCAATCCACCTGGATTAGCAGGGAACAGGGAAATCTGTAAAAAATATTTATTTCTGAAAGGTTACAAAAGCAGTAAAATGAAAAATCCGTATATTTATCCCAGTAGCACATTTTGTTATAAAATCTTTCTGTGAAGCACTTTGGAACTTTGGCTTGTGCTATAGAGCTATATAAATAAAGTTTACTTACTGACTTAATCATCCAGCATCACCTAAACATTCTGCTAACTCTCCCATTGTTTAGGAGTTTTAGTTTTAACACTTTAAATTAACACTGCCTTGTGGACGCTGTTCTTCAGGTCGGCAACTCTTGCCGTAAATGCGTTACTCAAAACGACGTTACATTACTGCCAGAGTTTTAAACTTAACTCTCTAAATGGGGGAAAAAAACAATTAGGTTGAATAAAGTTACTTAGATGGTACAAAATGAGCCTGTATTTTGTCCATTTCTGCCTGTCTGCAAACCTCAGAAAACAAAATATTGTGATTAGGGCTCTCAAACAATTTTAATAATTAATTGTGAATATATTTTAATTCATAATTAATTGCATAAATTTTCTTGTTCAAGATCGACTCTGTTTTATTTACTCAAAGTATGGAGAGAGATTTTTTTTTTTTGTAAAAAATGTTATAGTGGAAAATAAAGGTTCATCAGAATGTATTTATTACTTTAAATACATAATTCAGTAGCATTTATTTATGTTTTAAAAATATCACACAGTGGTTCCAACTCCACGATTATAGCCTTCTCGCTCTCATTCATACAGCTTCTGTATCCTTGCTCTTAAGTAACTGTAGCTTTCCACTTTGCTGTAGTTGGTTCAAAGAGTCAAACTAGAAAAATGGGATTATTTACAGTGTTAATTTGACAGCCCTACTCGTGATGCATATTGTGTCGTAATCTGTATTGTAGTATTGTGTTATATTTTTGCCATATTGCACATCCAATACATCCACACAGTTATGGCTAGAACCACCAAGCTTGGTCCGCCTTTAAGACTGAACTATTATATATGGGGCATGTCGTATTCACTTGATTCAGTATGTGTGAACTGCTCATGACCTCTGTTCTGCACTGCTGACTTATGCTGTGTCAAGAAGGATGGTGTTAGCAAAAAAAATCACTTGCCTTACTTTTACTCTCTCTCACACACACACACACACACACACACACACACACACACACACACACACACTTTTTGTAATGTGTGAAATATACTGTGTGTATGTGACTGTTTTGGAAATCACTTGCATTTACACCAGGCCCAGTATTTTCTCTCTAGCTGTTCTTTCTGCTGTTGTAGTATGTGTGACCCAGTTTCCACTCCCCTTTGAGCACATGTGATGGAGATGTGGGTAATTTGGAAATCACAGATTAGGGAGAGAGAAAGGGGGATGGGGAGGGAAAGGTGGTTACACTGTGATAAAATCCCTCGTGTGATTGAGCCCTGTGGAAAGTGAGCTGTGAAATGGCCACATTTAAACCATGTGATTTTTGTCCTTGTCTTGGCCCCTGTTAGTCATTGTGTATTTGGTGTGTGCTAAATGTAAGGCTAGGGGATATTTGCTGTAGCTAATGAAATTGTATTTGCCCTCATTGTACCCCATCAGTGTAACCCTGACCCCAATCATGCATAATATGCTTTTAATAAAAACAGCAGTTTATGACAGCTGTGCAAGCCACAATGAAGGTCTCAATTTGGAAAGGGTCAGTGCTCTGTTCTGCTGTAAAATCTTTTTCATATTATCATGCTTGTTGTACCTATCATACCCCCTGAATATGTATTAAGTCTCAAATAGCTCTGAATCATAATGTGACCTCTTTGTTTGTCTTACAAGTGAATAGGCTACATATTTATGCTCAAAAAGCAGCATAACAGCTATTTCTGTTGGTATCAAGAACATTTAACATTTTCCAGTCCTCTCTAAATCCTGAAAATACTAGGAAAATATGGTGAGCATACAGCCTTCCTGTCAAAACATTTTACAGTGCACTAAAACAACTCTACAATCGTGAAACAGAAGTTGTTTTCACACTCAGTAAAGCAGGGTAAACGTGGTGATGCAAGAACAAATATAGTGCTTCCCTGTGGTAGTTCCGTTTGCTTGACTATTGTCATGTGATGAAAAAAATTAATTTTATTCTGCTGTGTTATCTTGTTAGTTTGTGCTTGGAAAGCGCTGACTGATATTACAACTTTTTATTTTTATATTACAATTTTTTTTTTGTTATTGTGACATTGTAGGCTGTAAACTGTAAAGGCCAGCACAGTATCTCCTACACTCTGTCCAGAAACCAGACTGTGGTCGTGGAGTACAGCCATGACAAAGACACGGACATGTTCCAGGTAAAGTAAAACATGCACCCGCACACACAGATCTATAATCAGTCTGTCAATCTGTATAAAAGATAGCTTATTTACACATAACTAACTGAACGATAGCAACTACGTATTGGCAATTAATCAATTTGATTAATTGCTGATAATTTCATAAATTTTAGTCTGTGGCTTTTTAATTGAGTTTAATCAAGCAATCGTAAAAACTGTGATTAAAAGAAATTGTATCATGATTTTGTGGTTTATGTGTTGTTATAAATGGCATGGGCAAGATTGCTGTTTACATAGGTATCACTTTATTGAGCAATCATAAGTTGCAGGAATTCTGTGCTTGTGAAAGAATTTTGCTCTCTCTCTCTCTCTCTCTCTCTCTCTCTCTCTCTCTCATATTACTCTCTTACTCTCCTCATTCTCCTCTCTCCCCTAGTCAGACACACAAGTGCTGTATACTCTGAGGCCTGATCCCCGTCACAGCTAATCTGAATCTATGATAGGAGACAGCTATTCCAGCTCTCTCATGAGAAACCAGTTACTGTTAGAGACACGTCCGCAAGTGTATGTGTGCTTGGCCGTGTGCACCCATGTATGAGCAAAATGGGTCAAAGAAATGGCAACAAATGGCCAGAAATGAAAAGCAAAAACAGGAACCCACAGTAACCCACAGGGGGGAGAAAACAGTAATCCTATAAAAAGGACCTAGAGCTGGAGACCCTGTTTAGTTTATTTTAGTGGTTGTGTTCTTTCTTCCACATTTATTTTTAAGTGATAGTCAAGGAAATATGTACAATACAGCTTTTTAAACTAAAACCATGTTTTACAACTTCCAAGTCTCAACCAGTCTGTTTTTTTCCCTAAATGCAGCTCGCAACTGCTTTTGAGAGAGTTTAGGAGACTGCCTTTTATAACCTGGTTGGTTTAAAGCACTGTTATTATGTTTATGCCAAAGCCATATAAGGGCTAACTGACACCCTGTAAAGGCCACTTAAAGGTCATTTTGTAGAGTCTTGCCCTTTCTTTAATGTGCATACTCTTACAAGACTGGGAGAGAGCACACAAAAATAATGGAAGCTTTCCTCTCAGACTGAAGGCCATGCTGCTTTTAGATGTCGCGTGAATCCAGTTTTAGGTGACCAGATCTTTATTTGCTTTTCTAGTTTATAGAAGAAATATGAATTGTAATGGAGATTTTTTGGGGGCTTAGAAAATACCTTATTTACTTTTAACATAAGCACACTGTTTAACACATTGTTTTTGTGCACCAGAGTTAAACAGCTAAAGCAAAGCAGTGCTTTGAACTAAGCTAATGTATGCTTTCTATGTGTTTTTATGTTCATATGGTTTACCTGTAGGCCTGCAAGCCCACGTGGGAGATACCTAAAAATGTGGTTTTGTGGATGTTGGTGATATTTTCAATGTTCTGGGTCACTCCACCCTGAGAGCTACAAATATATATAATATTTAAGAATTTTTGCTGTTATTTGTGTTCAACAAATGTGACCATAGAGAACATTTCACTGCAAATGACAAATCATATCAGTCAGCACTATTTAAGTAAAACTATTGAAGTATAAAATTTAAAATCTACAATATAAACATACACTTATACATGCAGATATTACAAGTTATCAGAATTTTTATCCTCTTAAAATGGCTATCTGTATCTGCCACATAATTTTCATATTGATCAGGCCTTAATAAAGACTAATTCTTGAATATACAACACAAATGGCGTAACTAACTCCTCTTTTGTTGTTTTATGTTATTACTAGTAAATGTTTCCAATATTTGGATGGCCAATGTTCCGTTTCTGCTATGTTTGTAGATTGGGCGATCAACGGAGAGCCCCATTGACTTTGTGGTGACTGACACAGTGTCTGGGGGTGGGGACAGCGAAGAGACGCCCATCACTCAGAGCACAATCTCACGTTTTGCCTGTCGAGTGGTGTGTGAACGCAACCCTCCATACACTGCTCGCATCTATGCTGCAGGCTTTGATTCTTCCAAGAACATCTTTCTAGGGGTGGGTGCTCCTTCATGACTGTTTCCCTGGCTTCATGCATGTATTGGAAATACTTTACTTGAGCTCTGATACATAACACGCACATAACCATGCCATAAACATGTCACGACACGTGGTACTGTCATAATTCACGTTTATCATAACAGAGAGTTTAGTAATATATCTTTTACCGGTTATTATCATGACTGATTGTCACTAATTTCTGCTAACTGTACTCTAGTTAGCCATCATGACATGAAAGATTATGACAACTGTCAAGACAATTATCGATAATGGTTACATGACACTGTTACGTTACTAGATATAGTCTGTAATGAGAACTTATAACAGCATATGACATCTGCTGTGAATGTTTATGGCATGGTTTATGGAATCCTATGTAGAAGGTAAAGTGTTACCCATGTATTATGCATCAAAAAAACTCTACTTTTATCACTGGTATTTGAGGAAGTCACTGTCTATATATACATAAATGTCCTGGCTGGGGAAGTATCTTCTTCTGCTGATTCAGTGGAACCTTCTAGAATAACCTGGTAAATATAGGCTTGTGCTGATCACCTACAGAATAAGTCACAGTAGTCATGAACATGTGGAGGTGTTGGTGTAATGTAGTACTTTTTTTTACTCTGTTCACCTGTCCACAGGAGAAAGCAGCCAAATGGAAGAATCCAGATGGTCAGATGGATGGGTTGACAACCAATGGTGTGCTGGTGATGCATCCGCGGGGTGGGTTCACAGAAGAGTCCAAGCCCGGCGTGTGGAGAGAGATATCTGTGTGTGGAGATGTTTATACGCTGAGAGAGACTCGCTCTGCACAAACACGAGGAAAATTGGTTAGTGCTGCCACAGAGTGTTCCATCCTTCTATCAGTCGTACATCTACCATGACTTAAAGAGGAATTCCACCGAAAACAATTAAATGTGTTCTTTGCATCTCCCAATCCATTCTGCTACCCTACAAAGTGTTTCTGCCACGCTTACTGCTGTCAGCCATGCTTTTTTTCTGTGTACACTGCTAGGTTTTTGTCTATGGTTAATTAATTTCATATCTTTCCCAAAGTCATTTGGTTATATCAGCTGCACTTAACTTCCCAGTGTGCATGTAGATATGACTCTCATTTGTTTACTGAGTCACATACAGTGAAGCTCCTGTCTGCTGTAATGCCATTGTGGATACAAAGTGGCTCGTTTTGTCTTGCTCAGTGGTGAAACATCACTCTTTTGGCCTTAGCTTTCTAGTAATTTAGCTTTAATTTATGCTGTTGCTCTGCACCAAAACACTTTTATTCTTGCAAGCCATGCAAGTCCTTAGGAATGTAGCTATGCTAGCTAGAATGTATTTTGGTAGCAAGAATGCATGATTATACCAATGTGCATCTTGTATGCAGGCATCTGCCTGGGTGGTCTAATGATGGCATGAATTTTCTATGCATTTTGGGTGTATATGTTTTTTAACAGTCTGGTGTACGTATGAATTTTGAGACATATGGAGTTTGAATATGTGGAACTTTTGTGCAAGTTCCACTTTACGGTTTTCTCTCCGTCCCCGTTTTTGCTGTGAACTGGGTGAGTGTCTTAAAGGCATCATAGCAGTAATGTCACAGGAGTGAGAGGTGTTATTTGAATTGTCTTTCTAGTAAAGTATGATCATAAGCCTATCATTTTTAGGTTCTGTCCTCTCTGCAGTTTGAACACAGTTCCGGCAGTTTTGATCTTGGAGCTTAATTTACCATCAGAGCAAATGACTCTCCTATGACTGTAGTCTTGTCAAAAGGTTAAAAAAAGAAATGGAGAACATTCCATGGTTGTCTGGTCTTTTAAAGCACTGATTCAGAACATCTGAAGTGCATTGCTTTTGAATCATTCCCATAGTTTATGTTCAACCAAGATACTAAGATAAATTATGTTTTTACTGAAAAATTTCTTTCATGAATGAAGTTAGATATAGGTATACATGCCATGGTTGGACAGGTTTCTGTGAGCACTGCACCATCTTGAGCTCTAGTCTTAATAGTATATAATAGGTAAATCTTGGTACACACTATTCAGAGAGCATTCAAACTGACATATTAGAGAGCTACAAAGGCTTTTTGTTTGGCAGCGGTTAAGGTAATAAAGCCCCAGATGTCAAAAATAAGTGTGTGGGACAGATAAGCATTTTGCAGACATGATAAACCGATTTGGTTTAACACTGCTCAGCATATCCTTTTAATCACCTACTTGGAGCTGGAAGGATCTGTGAGTGTTTTTAGGCCTCTACCACCCTCTGGAGGTCAAAACTGATTTTACATAATATCTGAATGTCTCCAATCATATGTGTGATTCTTACCAGTTGCATAGCATGATATAATTTCCCCATGAATAATAATGCCAGCGGAACACCACCAAGGCATGAGACTACAGACTGAAATGAGCACTCAAAGCTTGTTTACCTGTACAACAGGGATGATTTCTGTCAATTTGTTGTTTTTACACATCAAAAGTTGGGCACTCTTTTTTTTCCCTTAAGTAATAGAAATGAATAGTTATTTTAATGAGTTTTGTCAGCTTATTGGGAAATTTGTGAAATTGTATGGTAATCTGTGGTTCATTTCATGATCAGGTGGACAGTGAGAGCAACGTGCTGCAGGACGGTTCTCTGGTCGACCTGTGCGGAGCGACACTGCTGTGGCGCACCGCCGAGGGCCTCTTCCATACCCCTACGCAGAAGCACCTGGAGGCCCTGCGACAGGAGCTGAATGCAGCCCGGCCCCAGTGCCCCGTGGGCCTCAACACCCTGGCCTTCCCTAGCATGCAGCGCTGCAGCCGAGCTGTGCCCAGTGTCGCTTTGCAGGAGGATAAGCAGCCATGGGCCTACCTGGCCTGCGGCCATGTCCACGGTTATCACGACTGGGGTCACCGCTCTGAAAGGGAGCCCAATGCCCAGAGGGAGTGCCCCATGTGCAGAGCTGTGGGTCCCTATGTGCCACTGTGGCTAGGCTGTGAACCAGCCTTCTACGTGGACACAGGCGCACCAACATATGCCTTTGTGCCATGTGGTCATGTGTGCTCTGAGAAGTCTGCCCGCTATTGGTCGGAAATCCCCTTACCGCATGGTACCCATGCTTTCCATGCTGCTTGCCCGTTCTGCGCCACCCAACTCAATCTCACACAGGGATGCTCCAAACTCATCTTCCAGGGCCCTGTAGACTGAGCCTGAATGTTCAAGGTAGTGGTGGTGTAATGGAAAATGGCTTTATCCACATGAAGCCTGGGTTGAAGCTGTAGATGGAACAGAGAACATGATAAAGGATTGTTGCACACCGTAAGCTGTGAAGCTATCCTCACGTATTGAAATACTTTGAGGAGCATAAGGAAGATTTTGCCCAGCTTGGTGCTCTATTCAGTCTGTCGCAATTATCTTGAACTTGGCCTGGAGATCGACTGGGTTTTTGGCCATGAAATTCAGACAGTGAGTCTGTTTTTTATACTATGAACTGTTGGATTGGTCCACAGGAATTTGACCCCACCAGCATCATGAAAACACTCTGAGAACACTTTCAAACAACGTTGCTGAGCCTTGTTTAGATCCAATGATTTTAAAATAAGGTATTTAAAAGCTGCAGGCCGAGTTTATTAGTCACCAGATTATCACAATTAAGCTTCAAGCTATTTTGGGATTACTTCACTTAAACCTATAGATTTATACAAAGTTTCTCAAAATTCAAACACTGACCGCAACATTTGTTTTGGATTTGACCTACCAAAATAGTTGTTGTCCAAAGATAAAAAGCAGCCAAAGCTGAAATTATAGGCTACCTAGATCAGCCTTTGCCAGATCAGGGATAAATATGGATCACTCACAGCCAGTGCTTGATCATGAACAGGATTATGCATTATTAAAATAGGTATAGGTTAAAAGTGGTTTATAGTTTCTAGCTCTTTTTTGTTTTAACCAACTAACGTCTCTGAACGGTAAGATTCTCTCTAACAGTTGCAGACTTAATGTTTTCAGTATATGCTGTTTTATTGTACTGTAAATCCTGAACCGCTTGCATTGCTGAAAGGAACAGTATGCAATCAGGACTGATGGGAGCATCATGCTCTGTAATCGACATCTAAACCTTAATGAGCTAGTACCTGTTTTGAACCAAAAGCTGGTCATTTGTCACTTTTGGAGGTTTGAGGTATTTGAAACAACCCAGAAACTGCCTTTATTCAGCAGGCTGGCAGCTTCAGGCTACCCCTTTCTTTTTGATCCCAAATTTGTCATTGGTGGAAATTCAAATATTAATAGGATGTGAACATGTTTTATAAGGTTGTTTTAAGATGAAAGAATTTTTTATTCTTCTATTTTTCTTAACCTTTGTACAGAGATGGAGATTAGTGCCTGCAAATGGGGGAATTTTTTACTGAGGTTTGAATGAGCTATTTTAATCAGAAGATGAGGTTATTGCATTTTTCAAAGATTATAAAAGATTTAAAAGAAAACAGCCCTGTTTTTGTCTTCTGTTCTCTCTGCAGATGTATTTTACTACTACCACATGCATGTACAGTTTTCTAACAGAAGAACTATTTATTCAGAAAGTGTCTTGTATTTTAAACAAGTTCCCATTTTCTAAAATGGGACGGTTATTTCGAATTCAGTATTGCATCATGTCCTGACGATACTGTCGCCTGGAAGCTGTGACTAATGTCAAAAGTTGAACAGAAACGCTTGTTTTGTTGGGAATGATGTACTGCCTGGCAAATGTTCACTGGTAGAACCAAATACATCTGACTAAAGCAAGCCTATTCCTTTTGGTCAAGATTATTTCAACACTGATTTGCATGATCTGGACAGAATCCTGCAGATATAGTAAAATAACAGTAATTTCAATATAACTTGTAATATGGCACCTGGGTGAGCACTTTTTTTCATTTGACATGGATAAAGAATTTGACAAATCGTTGTACATTTCTCAGACTGTGGTGTTTGTCAGGACACATAGTGAACACTTATCTGAGATTAGTTAGCATGCTCACATAATTACATAATTCGTTTGCAAAGGATGCAGGAGGAACACAAGAACACTTGATTTTTAGTGCACCTGGTACACTACTAATTAAATAACTGTATCACAGAGGCCAGCATTGACATTTCATTGTATTGTTGTGCTCCAGTTGAGCACATTTAAACAAAGTGAAATAACGTGCCACAGTTTTTGTATGTTAGAGAAATCAAGTTTGCCTGATAGTTGGTTCCATCCATAACCCCTTTAAAAGTCACAAAATTTGTCTAAATTACAAATAACACATACACAGACTGTTCCAATCAGTATTCGTATTGCATACCAGTATGCTCTTAAAGTCAATTTTCAAAGTCAAAACTTTTGCTGGAATAACAGTTTAAGTCTGTTGGGGTAGGTTTCTACCAGCTTTGCAGTCTGTTTGGGAGTGATTTTTGCCAGTTTGTCCTGGCAAATTTGCTCCAGGTTGTTCAGGTTGGTTTGTTGATGCTTGAGGACTGTAATTTTTAAATAGTGCCAAAGATTCTTGATTGGATTAAAATCTCAATTTTGTTTTCTTGCAGTATCTTCCTGAATTTTGCTCAGTCCATCTGTCCTACAATTTTAACATCTGTTGTGCAGATGCTTTTCCTGCTGAGGAAAAGCATCTGCACAACAGGATGCTGCCATCCCCATACTTCACTGTTGCGATGGTGTTTGTTGAAGAATGGGCAGTGTTAGGTTTGCGCCACACATAGCATTTTGAATTTTGGCCAAAAAGCTCAATTTTCGTGTCATCTGACCACAAAACAACATTTCAGCTTGGTCCAGACTTACTTTGATGTATTTTTTTCTTTAGTAATGTCATCTTTCTAGCCGCCCTTCTATACAGGATAGATGTATGCAGAGTTCTAGAAATAATTATTGACTGGTGCACCCTCACTCCAGTCTCAGCAACTTGCCTCTGTGGCTCCTTCAGAGTGATTGTTGACTGCTCTGTGGCTTCCATCTGAAGCCCCCTTCTTGCTCTGTTGTGAGACGGCCTTGTGGTATGGGTGGTGCCTGGGTGGTATGATGCAGCTTCTATTTCCACACAATTTGTCCAACGGTGCTCAGTGCAATATCCAAACACTTGGCCGTTTCCTGTCTTGTGCATGTGTATATCTTTACTTCTAATTTCTTTAGAATGCTCTTTGGCCTTCATTTTCGCAGCTTTACTTTCAGATTCAGTCTAGTAATTGAATTAAGGGGGTCTTTTTTTAACCAAAATAGGTGATCTTTTAAAGGATTCACAGGTAGAGGACAATTGTAAGCCAGCTGTGTCCTCGTTAGGGCAAGATCTTTCATCTGTGTGAACTTGGAACTTCCACAGCACAGAGGTTGAATTCTTATGCAAACAGCATTTTTCAGTTAGTAATTTTTGTCATTATTTTTGTTACATAAAACCAACATCAATTAAATTAATTCATTTTTAGGCTCAGTCTTTTTATAATCAAAATTGAACACAGCATAAAATATCAAGGTGTCATTTGTAATCCAGATCCAGATTTTACATCCATACATATGGATTTTGTGACTTATACACACAGCTTGGTGATAAAAAAAAAAAAAACTTGTGATGCAAAAATAGTCTTTCAGAAATGCCTGTCTGATTGCTGTAATTTTTTTTACGTTGTTATGAAAGTACAAGAGGGCAACCAAAAGCACTTCAAATGGTTTTTAATTAAATAAAAAAAGCTACCTTTCACTCAGTATTAGTTTGTACGCTGCTGTCCCTGCCCGCTTAAGTAAATAACTTACCAAAATAGACTCAAACCTTTTTTGTTGTTTTTAAATGAACCTGCAGCTTAAAATCAGTACTGTGAGTTTAGGTCATTCATTGCGTGGCCTCGGATTACCTGTTGTCTGATGTGCCGGATTTTGACATAATGCTGCTGGTTTTCTGGCCTTCATCTCTTTGCCTTCTTCCTCTTCACTGAAGTAACATTCCTCTAGTCTGTTATTGGAAGGATTCCTACTTTACTCACGTGCCTTGCTGTCTGGTCTCATTGATACACTCATTAGAACTTATTCATTCACAAATGAAGTGCCTGAGATTAGAAATAATAGGTAGTGATGGTAAAATGAAGCTTTCAGAGGCAATCAAGCTTTCTAAACTGTATTGATAAGAGTTCGGTACTTGAAGCTTTTCAGAATGGTGTGCTTTAGTGACACCTGGTGGTTAAAAGCAAAAAAGAGCAATTGCTAATCTGCTGGGTCCTATGATGGTTGTTCTTAACTCCAGTCCTCTGGAACTTCTGCACAATTTCAACTCTACCCCAGCACACCTGACTGATCCAGGTCACGAAGTGCTTAGTTGTAACCTCATGAGATGCATCAGGTGTGTTTTATCAGGGAATACTTAAACTGTGGGATGGGAACCACCGTCTTAGGGAGTGAAGCAGGAGCATTTTATGGTAAATCAGCCTGAATCTGTCCCTAATACTGCTTTGAAAAGGAGTGAATGATGGATTTTTTATTAAGGTTATCAGCATCACTGTAAAGCTGTGGTGATTGTTTAACTGTTTTGCCCACTACTCCATTATCACCAAGGCCAACTAGAATCAGATCCTCAGATCCTCAGCTCCTGGTTGTTTGGAATGAAAATCTGCAGCCGTCCCTATGCAGATAAGATTGGGCATCCTGCTGTAGGTCCTCTGTCAATTGGGTTACTTAGAAATAGATTGCACCTGGTATTTATAGCAAGCTTGCTGAATAATACAGGCATAACCTTTATCATTTTTAACCTAGCCCCAGTTCCTCACCTACTTTTCTCATAGGCAAGGCTCATGTGGGCGTGACATTGGAAAAAGCTAAATAAACGAGTAGAGAAACATAATGACTGCAGATGCTTCCAGACAGGTACAATTTAGCATTTAACATCTTGCCCTCTGTGGCATATAAGAATGCTGAGCAAGGCGTGATGGGAGTGGTCTCATGATCCACAGGGTATGAGGGACCACTGAATAGTTTGATGAGTATGAATGCTTTAAATCATACACTACAGCTTTCACAGTCACCAGTTTTCAACCCAGTGTTAGGCATGTTAGACAGCCACCATCAAAAAGAACGTGGATCCATCCCTCCATTACAGGTCCAGAGCTGTAGAGTCTATGCCAAGGAACACTAAAGCTGTTCTGGTTGCTTGTGGTGGCCCAACACCTTACTAAGACACTTTGTGTTGGTTTTTCTTTTTAAAGCCAATCCAAATGCATGAATCACAGATGTAGGTCTGTTAAATACTTTAAAATTGTAAACACAGAATTCATTTGTGTCATTTTGATGTTCTTGTGTAAGAAAATGGGGCATCACTATTGTGTCTTGTGCTTGACTGCTGCTTATCACAGATGAACATTAGCAATTAAAAGTCCAACCAACTCTGTACCATAAAGCAGCATTTCCATTCTTTAGTGATTCTCAGTAGTCAGCTGAATTTCCCACTTTTTATCTTCCTCTTCAGGCTTGCTCACATGTTGCATCATGACTCTTATTATGACACTCTACTCGTTTACACATTTATCATCATAAAAATATGGAAGATTTCAACAGACATATATTATTTGATTAAAGAGCCCGGTCACACGTCCCGCCGACCCCCAAATGCCCCCCTCCTCTGCCCACATACATACACACACACACACACAAAATGAAATGGTAAAGCTGGAGCAGAGTGATTCTAAATCATAGTAGAGCTGCGTTACCACTCTGTATCAGGCAATGGACTAGATAGCCCCCGCCCCCCCGCCTCCAATAAAATCCAGTAGTGCTTTTTATAGCCACAGTGGGGCGCTGTTGTCATGGCAATCGGACAGGAGTTCAGCCTGCCATAAAATAAAAACTGAGCTATTTCAGACTTCTATACGTGTGTAAATGTAAATGGAAGGAACTGTCAGTAGCTGCCATGGACAAGGAAAAAGTAAGTCTGTACAAACAAAGTAAAAACAAGTTTAAAAATATATGTAAAAAAACAATGATTTTAATACAGCAATTTTAAAAATCAGGTAATTTTGCAGTGTTTATTTCACTGAATTGTGAAGGGGGCGTTTTCTTTTGTTTTCCTAACACTCTTGCCATGAGAGTAAGTGTGTGAGGGCAGTGTGAGATAAGAACACCCTAAAAACCAAACAATTGCATTAATGGGAACCTTTATCTAATCATTCAGCACAGATTTTTTACACATGACAAATACTGATATTTTGCAGAAATCACATTCAAAAAGGGAATAACTCCTGTCAGTCGATCATCTATAGCCCAGCGTGTGCTGTGTATGGAGAACTCACCCTATCCATCTCAAAAACGACACAAAAATCACAGTGTGAAATAGCTTTATATAATGGCAACCGCATTATCCACCATACACAGATGACATATTTGTCCTTTTCATATCGTTTCTCTCTACAAATAAGGGCATATAAAAGGATTTAGATTTAGAACATGCCATTTAGCTGCTATGAAAAGAAGGGATCAGCGGGATGCCATGAGTGCTAATTAACATTTCCTCCTGTAGATGTTGGAGAGATGGGACATGTGTCTCCGTCCCACTCGGTGCCGTTTTTCTGAATGACAGTGAATGTGCTAAAGGTGACAGTGTGCTCCTTTTGGAAATCTCTGCTTGGCTTGCTCTCACCTAAGAGGGTTTATTAAAAATGACATCATTTCTGCTTGTATGAGGTGGCAACAGAGCTGTTCCTATTTCCTCTGGAGATTTTGTGTTTTGTGCTGTGCTGCATTGTGAGATAATGTTATATAACAGAATAAGGCA